GATGTTATGGAACAACTTAACAATATCAATCTTCTGTTCTCCTAAATAATCCAACCCCGGGTCATTATAGGCCACACAAAATGTATTACTAAATTTGGAGCATAGATTAACGGTGTTGGCACCAAGATTAGTGGCGATGGTTCGTTCGATCGAGACTCATACAGCCTTTATACTGTTTTATTAATGAGATTTATCTCGAATCAAATCAAACTAAGAGATGTTATGGAACAACTTAACAATATCAATATTCTGTTCTCCTAAATATTCCAACCCAGGGTCTTTATAGGGCACACAAAACTTATTACTAAATTTGGAGCATGGTTTAACGGTGTTGGCACCAAGATTAGTGGCGATCGTTCGTGTGAGACTCATACAGCCTTTATACTGTTTTATTAATGAGATATATCTCGAATCAAATCAAACTAAGAGATGTTATGGGACAACTTAACAATATCAATCTTCTGTTCTCCTAAATATTCCAACCCCGGGTCTTTATAGGGCACAAAAAATGTATTACTAAATTTGGAGCATAGTTTAACGGTGTTGGCACCAAGATTAGTGGCGATCGTTCGTGTGAGACTCATACAGCCTTTATACTGTTTTAGTATAGAGATATATCTCGAATCAAATCAAACTGAGTGATGTTATGGAACAACTAAACAATATCAATCTTCCGCTCTCCTAAATATTCCAACCCCGGGTCTTTATAGACACATAAAACGTATTACTAAATTTGGAGTATGGTTTAACGGTGTTGGCACCAAGATTAGTGGCGATGGTTCGTGTGAGACTCATACAGCCTTTATACTGTTTTCGTATACAGATATATCTCGAATCAAATCAAACTGAGAGATGTTATGGAACAACTTAACAATATCAATATTCTGTTCTCCTAAATATTCCAACCCAGGGTCTTTATAGGGCACACAAAACTTATTACTAAATTTGGAGCATGGTTTAACGGTGTTGGCACCAAGATTAGTGGCGATCGTTCGTGTGAGACTCATACAGCCTTTATACTGTTTTATTAATGAGATATATCTCGAATCAAATCAAACTAAGAGATGTTATGGGACAACTTAACAATATCAATCTTCTGTTCTCCTAAATATTCCAACCCCGGGTCTTTATAGGGCACAAAAAATGTATTACTAAATTTGGAGCATAGATTAACGGTGTTGGCACCAAGATTAGTGGCGATGGTTCGTTCGAGACTCATACAGCCTTTATACTGTTTTATTAATGAGATATATCTCGAATCAAATCAAACTAAGAGATGTTATGGAACAACTTAACAATATCAATCTTCTGTTCTCCTAAATAATCCAACCCCGGGTCTTTATAGGGCACACAAAATGTATTACTAAATTTGGAGCATAGTTTAACGGTGTTGGCACCAAGATTAGTGGCGATCGTTTGTTCGAGACTCATACAGCCTTCATACTGTTTTATTAATGAGATATATCTCGAATCAAATCAAACTAAGAGATGTTATGGGACAACTTAACAATATCAATCTTCTGTTCTCCTAAATATTCCAACCCCGGGTCTTTATAGGGCACAAAAAATGTATTACTAAATTTGGAGCATAGATTAACGGTGTTGGCACCAAGATTAGTGGCGATGGTTCGTTCGAGACTCATACAGCCTTTATACTGTTTTATTAATGAGATATATCTCGAATCAAATCAAACTAAGAGATGTTATGGAACAACTTAACAATATCAATCTTCTGTTCTCCTAAATAATCCAACCCCGGGTCTTTATAGGGCACACAAAATGTATTACTAAATTTGGAGCATAGATTAACGGTGTTGGCACCAAGATTAGTGGCGATGGTTCGTTCGAGACTCTTACAGCCTTTATACTGTTTTATTAATGAGATATATCTCGAATCAAATCAAACTGAGTGATGTTATGGAACAACTTAACAATATTAATCTTCTGTTCTCCTAAATAATCCAACCACGGGTCTTTATAGGGCACAAAAAATGTATTACTAAATTTGGAGCATAGATTAACGGTGTTGGCACCAAGATTAGTGGCGATTGTTCGTTCGAGACTCATACAGCCTTTATACTGTTTTATTAATGAGATATATCTCGAATCAATTCAAACTAAGAGATGTTATGGAACAACTTAACAATATCAATCTTCTGTTCTCCTAAATAATCCAACCCCGGGTCTTTATAGGGCACAAAAAATGTATTACTAAATTTGGAGCATAGTTTAACGGTGTTGGCACCAAGATTAGTGGCGATCGTTTGTTCGAGACTCATACAGCCTTTATACTGTTTTATTAATGAGATATATCTCGAATCAAATCAAACTGAGTAATGTTATGGAACAAATTAACAATATCAATCTTCCGTTCTCCTATATTCCAACCCCGGGTCTTTATAGACACACAAAATGTATTACTAAATTTGGAGCATAGATTAACGGTGTTGGCACCAAGATTAGTGGCGATCGTTCGTGTGAGACTCATACAGCCTTTATACTGTTTTATTAATGAGATTTATCTCGAATCAAATCAAACTAAGAGATGTTATGGAACAACTTAACAATATCAATATTCTGTTCTCCTAAATATTCCAACCCAGGGTCTTTATAGGGCACACAAAACTTATTACTAAATTTGGAGCATGGTTTAACGGTGTTGGCACCAAGATTAGTGGCGATCGTTCGTGTGAGACTCATACAGCCTTTATACTGTTTTATTAATGAGATATATCTCGAATCAAATCAAACTAAGAGATGTTATGGGACAACTTAACAATATCAATCTTCTGTTCTCCTAAATATTCCAACCCCGGGTCTTTATAGGGCACAAAAAATGTATTACTAAATTTGGAGCATGGATTAACGGTGTTGGCACCAAGATTAGTGGCGATGGTTCGTTCGAGACTCATACAGCCTTTATACTGTTTTATTAATGAGATATATCTCGAATCAAATCAAACTAAGAGATGTTATGGAACAACTTAACAATATCAATCTTCTGTTCTCCTAAATAATCCAACCCCGGGTCTTTATAGGGCACACAAAATGTATTACTAAATTTGGAGCATAGATTAACGGTGTTGGCACCAAGATTAGTGGCGATGGTTCGTTCGAGACTCTTACAGCCTTTATACTGTTTTATTAATGAGATATATCTCGAATCAAATCAAACTGAGTGATGTTATGGAACAACTTAACAATATTAATCTTCTGTTCTCCTAAATAATCCAACCACGGGTCTTTATAGGGCACAAAAAATGTATTACTAAATTTGGAGCATAGATTAACGGTGTTGGCACCAAGATTAGTGGCGATTGTTCGTTCGAGACTCATACAGCCTTTATACTGTTTTATTAATGAGATATATCTCGAATCAATTCAAACTAAGAGATGTTATGGAACAACTTAACAATATCAATCTTCTGTTCTCCTAAATAATCCAACCCCGGGTCTTTATAGGGCACAAAAAATGTATTACTAAATTTCGAGCATAGTTTAACGGTGTTGGCACCAAGATTAGTGGCGATCGTTTGTTCGAGACTCATACAGCCTTCATACTGTTTTATTAATGAGATTTATCTCGAATCAAATCAAACTGAGAGATGTTATGGAACAACTTAACAATATCAATCTTCTGTTCTCCTAAATAATCCAACCCCGGGTCATTATAGGGCACACAAAATGTATTACTAAATTTGGAGCATAGATTAACGGTGTTGGCACCAAGATTAGTGGCGATGGTTCGTTCGAGACTCATACAGCCTTTATACTGTTTTATGAATGAGATATATCTCGAATCAAATCAAACTAAGAGATGTTATGGAACAACTTAACAATATCAATCTTCTGTTCTCCTAAATAATCCAACCCCGGGTCATTATAGGCCACACAAAATGTATTACTAAATTTGGAGCATAGATTAACGGTGTTGGCACCAAGATTAGTGGCGATGGTTCGTTCGATCGAGACTCATACAGCCTTTATACTGTTTCATTAAAGAGATATATCTCGAATCAAATCAAACTGAGTGATGATATGGAACAATTTAACAATATCAATCTTCCATTCTCCTAAAGAATCCAACACTGGGTCTTTATAGGGCACACAAAATGTATTACTAAATTTGGAGCATAGATTAACGGTGTTGGCACCAAGATTAGTGGCGATCGTTCGTGTGAGACTCATACAGCCTTTATACTGTTTTATTAATGAGATATATCTCGAATCAAATCAAACTGAGAGATGTTATGGAACAACTTAACAATATCAATCTTCTGTTCTCCTAAATAATCCAACCCCGGGTCATTATAGGGCACACAAAATGTATTACTAAATTTGGAGCATAGATTAACGGTGTTGGCACCAAGATTAGTGGCGGACTCATACAGCCTTTATACTGTTTTATTAATGAGATATATCTCGAATCAAATCAAACTGAATGATGATATGGAACAATTTAACAATATCAATCTTCCATTCTCCTAAAGAATCCAACCCTGGGTCTTTAGCCTATAGGGCACAAAAAAGGTAGTACTAAATTTGGAGCATTGTTTAACGGTGTTGGCACCAAGTTTAGGGTTCGTTTGCACTCCTACAGCCTTTATACTGTTTTATTAATGAGATATATCTCGAATCAAATCAAACTGAGTGATTTTATTGAACAACTAAACAGTAGGCCTACTAAATGTCCATTTTCCTATAAACTGTCATTACAAAACTAGCTAGATTAGGGATTGTATAGCCGCTCCGAGGAACGTTAGCTATTTCAATTCCCTGCTTGTACTTGGCTTCACGGAGTAATTCGTCCTTTATAATGATTCTCTTCATTCCGGAGCAATGTACGTACTAATGCTTACGAACGTACTCTTGTACTAGTACAGTACATGTACCTGTGTATAAGACAGATCCATAGACAGAGTACGCATGCCGCACGTCTGTGACGTAGGGAATAATGAATATTCATATCGCCACTAATCTTGGTGCCAATATATGCTACCGTTTATTAATGTAGATGTCGAAGCTGAGTTCATGTTGATCGTGTTGAAAATACTGCTGGCCAAACCTTTACTAGCTTTTACTGGCTTGGTAAGCTAGTTATAGTTTTACTGTTTATGAATTCCATAATTGTATTTGTTTAAAGGTCGGGATGATAATATACTAGCTGTTTTTAGATCTAAGTCAGTTGTCTAGGGCTAGGCAGTAGCACTAGCAGTGCAGTACGTAGCAATGCAACTGCATTACCGGTACTAGACAGCAATAACCATCTGATTTGGGTCATTTCTTTAATAAAACTGACATTTGTTGTCATTCCCCAATACAGATGGCAACCCAGAGATCTCGTACCGTGGGGGTAAATTAGAGCCACAGCGTAACAGCTTTTCGTTACCGACATTTCTCCCCCGATTTTCTTTATTTAGATCTAGACCTAGATCTAGTAGGGTGTCTGATCGCGCACCCGATGTTGTGTGCTAAAATTCTTCCCATAGAGATTACACGCATCCCTATGCAGCCTACGTGCATTGCGCGACCATGCAAAAAAAGTCAATTTTTTTTTTTCAAATCGAGATTCAAACCTTTATCAGTTGTGATCCTGAAGGTGATAATCAATGAATGAGGTGTCATATGAAAGAGCAGGTGAATTCCAATATTTCCAAAGGGGCGTAGCCCCCGAAATTCTAAAAATATCTTGGTCAAAACAGCAATTTAAACATTGTGTCCTGGCTAACTCTGAGGTTTGTCACTTTTGAGATATGACGCCCCGATCGATAAGTAGTCCCAGTCCTAAGGAACAATTCTATGTGATTATATTTTCGCTAGCCCCCAGGGATCACAACTGATAACAGTTTAAAAATACCCTTCTCGCTATTTGGTGGATCAGCTAATTAGGGGGCGTGCGCTCCGCTCAGTCCAAACCATGGTTACATCGCGTAACATCTCCGCGCACGAACGAAACCCCAAATTCAATTACACATTATAGTGACTGAAATTATGGTTGGAAATTCCCTCGATAAACCCGGAAGTGAATACACGTTATAGTCAATGGCAATATCGCGGAGATTGTCTCCGCGATATTGCCATTGACTATAACGTGCATTCACTTCCGGGTTTATTGTGCGACGATTGCCAACCATACTAGTCAATCGCACATGTCGCGGAGACAGCGTAGCTCAAGCTGCAAGTCGCGGATTGGCTTAGCAGCATGCGTACGATATGCATACGCTTGCATATCGCGCGATACAGCTGTTTGGCTAAATTTAGCAAAACAACATCACTCTGCGTGGACGTCTTTTTCGACGATTTTGACCAAAATGATATGAATATACCAGCGTGTTGGAGGGGCTGTAACTTTTGATAGAAACATCGGTGAGACTTGAAATTTGAAATGTATTATTCTGATAACATTTTTTATTCAAATATCAAACAAAAATGGTGAAAAACGATCCCAAATTGAAATTTGAAAAATCGTTCAGACACCCTAGATCTAGATCTAATTTCCTGATTTCTAAATCAGATGTAAATTAGGTCGGTCTAGATCTATATATCTCCTAATTACAGTTTTCAAAATTTGCTAACCTATTATAGAATGTGAAATTTTCGGACTTACTTATATGAATTATCCAATTTGTTCCTCAGAACCGCGAAGCACTTACGTTCATGCATTCGAAATATTACCCGGCGGCCGATATATTTCCGGGTCCACCTACCAAAACATAGCCAATGGCCAATCAGAGCACTCGTTTCATGGGAGTTCGTTGGTCAAGCCGGGCCGACTCGTATGTAGCTACGGTAGCTATTGGACGTTCGAAAAGAAAAAATTAATATTCATCAACTAAAACCAAGACGGATAATGTTGACGACGAGACTTTCTCGGATTAATCATTAATTTAGGATCTAAATGAGCAAGCTATAGTAAGTCAAATAAGCTATATATATGTTATTTTTAATTAGACTCTAATTATTGTCATATTGCAGCATGTGTGAGGATGTAAAGAGTGAAAATCTCGTAGCATATCTCATTCATCGCGGTCCTGCCGAACCGAACCATTGGTTCCGTACAGTCCCGATAGGACAATCTTCAGTCTCTATAATCGGAGGTCTAGTGGAGCCAGACGTAGTCTCAGTGGAACAACCGACGATTAGAGAGACTGAAGTTTTCGGTCTATACCGGTACTATCCTGGAGCTGGCTGTGTTAATTAAAGATGTTCTATTGGTTCTCAACATTTCAAACAACAAGTGCTGTACAAAACTCAACTGATTTCACTCAAAATTGGTACTTGAGTGACAATTGATGACACCTAAATAGCAATAAAATACAATTTTTGAACTTAACGATGTACTCTATGAAGAATAATTTTAAAATTCAAATCGTGAGTCTACTGCACTTGCTTGCCGATCAGCCACATTGTAAGCATTGTGTGCATTTGTGTGGAATGTGTGTATTGAATATTCATGTGTGCAATTGCTGCCTCTGATATATTTTTTGCTATTAATGTTGTTGAGTACAAATTTCTTTGTCAACATATCCTGTCAAATATTTAGTCGACAGCGACGACTGTCAACAAAAGATGGTTGGTGGTAAATTTCAACATTATTTCAAGTCAACATACAGTCATCGTACACCCAACAAAGGCAGCAATTCAAAAGTCATAGACCACCACTAAGTAACTTATACCCTTTTGCTGGGTACACAATGATACTTTGGAGTATTGTAATTTCTCTTTTCATACAAGTATGTATGTATGTACATCGTATGTATTGATACTCTGCTTACAGATTTCAACTAAGGAAGGTAGCTGAATCATCTCTTCAAGCATGGCGTGGGTTTTGAAAGGTGCAGAAACCTTCCTCAACAACTTGGACCAATCGGCATCACATGCAATTGGAACGAAAGATGAGGAAAAAGGTTCTGGACAAAGCCAATTGATGCACCAAAGTCTTCCAGCAGATTCTAGACACTTTTCATCTGGTTCTTCTTCAGTAGTTGGGCCCAGTCCAATGGCATCTATGAGCCTGTCTGCTACAGACCTAGCTGGCAGTGCTAATATCAAAAGAACTTCAAGTGAGAGTGCAATATCATCTTCATCACCTACAGCTGGACCTACAGGGGCTGGACAGCAGGCCCAGCAGCAGGCCCAGAGAGCCAGGACTCCAACCTCAACATTGAGTAAATCAAAGAAAGAAGATGATGATGAAAAGTTATTTGAGTTCTTAAATAGTCCTTCCACTTCTTCTCAAGAAAAAAGAAAGAAATCTAATGGGAATACAAGTGGACGTCATTCTAGACAATCCAGCACGTCATCTAATGTTTCCATGAAGAGTGCTAGGACTGAGAGTAGCAGTGCTACTAATGCTGGCTTTGTCGTCATTCCTCATCAACAACAAGGTAACTTTATTCAGTGAAACGTTATCTACATTTGAATTCTGATTTGAAGTAATGTGTTTTATTTTTGTCTTTTAATTCATGTAGGGCAATACCAGTCCAGTTACCATTAGTAATGAATATCTGTAACAAATTAATTACATGCATAAAATAAACAACAGTTTATCACCAATGAGATTCGTATCATGGGTATGAAATATTGGAATGGCATTGTCATTCATTTTGGGAGATACAATTTTGCCCAGAGCAAGGGGTAACAATTTCCTTTCTATATCATCAATATTTGGTCTATCTGATAGTACACACAGTCAGTCATTCTTTGGGATCCAATATAATCAAATACAACTATAAAGCTTGAGTGTATTTTCTTTTCATTTTATGTTTGGCAAAGATATCGTTCATCTTTTTAACACAATGCAGAGCTGCCAACCATTCCGTTCTTGCCGGAATTACTCCGTTTTTTCCTCCAAGTTACGGTATTACGCTTTGTCTTCATAAAATACGTTTTTTAATAATTTTTTTAAAAAAATTTTAAATTTATTTATTTATGTTTTTATTATTTTTTTTTTTACATAATGCACGTCAAACCACTGCCCTTAAATTTTTATTTGATCACAAATTCAATAGAAAACTAATTTAAAACAAACTTGAAGAAAAAAATATTCTCAAAAAAAATGAAATGCCGATAATACCAAAATAACCACCAAATTAAAAATTTACCTGCTTGTATGGAAAAAACAGCATGATGAATGAACATTTCTGCATTGGAAGTGTGTCGCGCGTGGTTGTATGTTTCGTTTTTTATGAATTCCTTTTGTTTGCTTGAAATTCCTTTTTTTTTTGCCATCATGATTCCTTTTTTTGGTTGCACAAGGTTGGCAGCTCTGACAAAGCAACATTTGTTTACATGCATACAAAATGTTCCAATATTGCATACAACGTTGGTTGGTTGGGGTAATCATAACATGTAGTGTAGACTTCTACCAACCTCAATTCAATTCAATTCAATTCAATTTTATTTCGCAATATAAAAATCAAAATATACAAAGTAACAGTAAATTTTAACTATGTTTACAAAGGTTATATGCGGGGCTTTCCATGAAGGTTGCGAGAAACCTGTGAAGTTGGATCGCCCATTAAAGAATGAAAAACAATACAAAAAGAAATATAACATATTATAAGCACACAACAATAAAGTACAAACACTTCAACTACCTATAAGACAAGAGAAAGTAAAATAGAGAGAAGAAAAACAATATATAAAGGGGGAAAAGAAAGGAAAGGAAAACAAGATAACAATGAAAGAGGGTTCAGATATAAAATTAGAAAAAAAAAGAAAAAAAAATCAACAACTGTGCTGATTAATAATTATTTAGTAGTAAGATTTTATATTGTTTTCTAAAGGAAGATATGAATTGTGATTTCGTTATTACTTGGGGAATCATATTCCACTGTTTAGGACCTAGATAACTCATTGATTTAGCTTCCGATAACTAGACTTAACAGACCATAAATGAAATTTGTTGGAAAGCCGTGTATTATAATTATGAATTTGACTATTATAAAAACCTCTGTATTTAGTAGGCAAGCTATTGTTGCTCCAGGGATCTACAGGCAGCAAACAGCAAGAAACTGTGAAGAATCATTTGGCTTGAGAAAGTTCACAGGAGTGGATGGAAGTTTGCCTATTAAATGTTGAGGTTGGTACATGTACATGTAGATGCCTAAATGACATGTTATCTGTTTTTCAGAAGAGCATCCTGAATCTAGTGAGCCAAGCAGTAATGATATCTCACCCGGAGAAGAACCAGCAGAGACAATAGCAGGACCACTTCATGAAGATCCTCAATCACAACAACTCTCATCATTGGAGCTAGAGAATAAATTACTTCGTCAAGAAGTTTCTTCCCTCAATCAGGAGATGACATCAGCTCTAGAACGTACCAAGAAGGCCCACAATGGTAAGTCAAACCCTAACTTTAGCAACTCATTAATATTACTGGAGCTAAAGAGTTAGTTAGTTAGTTCATTTAACAGTATTCTCTCTACAAGGCTAGCAATGATAAATAGTAAGTTGAACTACTCTACCGGTAGTCACTGGAACAAGAGAACCAGCCTTGTAACATTAAGACTGCCTACACTAGTGGTATTCTTGACAGAGAACTCTGGAAAGTATCCTAGTCTGTACCCTAATAATAAATCTCATTACTACCCGAACAAGAGATTGTCTGTTTATCTGCTCTTGAATGCACTAACAATTGTCTAAACAATTGTGACTTATACTTGTACAATGTAGCTGTATCAGTTTAAAGAGAAGGTTGAGTTCTGGGAAGAGGTGAAAAATAATTTGTTTGCATTACTCATTCTTATTATGCAAGTGTGGAAGAACATCAGTTAAGACATGTTCCCTGAAAAGCATGGCTCTTCAAATGCCTTCATATTCTAAATATGCATGTAACATCGTAAAAATCGGGGGCCGGCTTTTTACGGCATGTGTTCGTGTAGTCCCATATACATCTTTCTGTGCAAGTGTTTGTAACTTTACCAAGACTTGGCCAGATTTCTTATCATTTTGATGATTCCAGAACCTTGCAATACACACAAATTCTTATATGCTAGATGATCAATCTTTTCTGGTCGGTTCCACACCGTTTCTTTCACAATGCAATCGCACGACCAGAACTCAACTTCATCTTTAAGGATGTAATCATTCAGATGATTTTTGTAACCCTGCCAAGAGCTTCCGTCTATTCAAGTAAACTTATCCAACTAATGGACAAACTTATTACTAATGGATAAACCTATTTTTATTCTTTAAATTTGTAGAGTTAAATCAACTTAAGGATGAGGTAAAACGTCGACAGACCCAAATATCCAACTCAGATGCTGTAGTTCGTCAGTTACGTCTTCATGAGGATGATCTGAATGAAGAGATTGGTGCTAAGAACTCCCAATTAGCTGTTCTTAGAGTGAGACTACAGGAAGCTGATCAAACCATCAAGACAAAGCAACAAATTGTAAATACTTTACAAGAGGAGAAACATAGGTACACTCTTAGTTTGATTATTTGTTGGGGGGAGGGGGCATGTTTGCTCACATATATATATACAAATTCAAATTCAAATGTTATTGATTATAATCCAAAGTGATTTTGATATCATTTAACAATGGATAACAAAATTCAAAATCATAGTGTAACATAGATATAATCGAGTGCTTAAGTCAAAATTACAATAACCAGGAATAGAAGAAAGAAAAAAGGGTAATAAATAATATTTCATAAGAACAAACAAGAAAAAGAAGAATATAGGTGTATAGTATGTGTGAAAATTGATGTCGAGATATGTCGTAAACTCTTACTGAGTACTGGTTTACTGGCTTGCATTTTTGAGGTATCCATTTTCTTATATTTTGTTTTTTATGTGCTACAGAATACTACAAGATCATAGTGATTCTAGTGGGATGCAGAGTCATGCATTAGATTCTATCAATGATAAACTCCTAGAATCAGAACAAGCATTCAAGAGAGAACAAGAATCTTACAGGTTTGCGCAAGTAAGTATTAACAGTTGATATTACACATCAATATCTATATGTCTTTTATATGAATCTATTTACCACTTGTCTAATAGTGGCTAGGAGTTATCTTTATGGATATCAAGATATTTCTTACCAGCTAACAAAATTCACAAGTATTCATTAAGGTTATCACTGCGAATCATAGGCTCATAAAAGTATGCTAGTTGCAGCCATTTAAGAATAGATATACATTTCCAGTTTCCAAAAATTAGCATTGACCATGTTATTGTTTTGTATCATTTGCAAATGTTATGATTATACCCCTAGGGCCCTACTGGAGATAAACCATTGCTAAATGGATCACCTAGTAATTATATATAAGAAGATATGAGCTGAATTTACATGTATTAATGGCATGTAAAAATGGATATTAAGATAGAAGGTTATATTTCAGTTAGTGATTTTTGTTTAGAAAGATGTGAAGACTACCATGTCAATGTGGGTTATATATTTCAAGTGATTGCATCTTGGTCTTGTATCATTGTCTATTTTTAGACAGAATTTATGGAAAGACAAAGCAAGATTGAAATAGAGCAATGTGCTTTAGCCGAGTCCTTATCAGCAACTCAGAAGAAACTTGCTGATGAAAAAGGTATATATATCTTATCTTTAATTTAAACAAAAATTAATTAAATCTCTGTTTCAACTTACCAATATTTGTATGTGTCTTTCCTGAATTTGGATCCCTTAGAAGTAATGATTGGTTTATATAGGGTATGTTGCAAACTGTATACAATAGCCTCAGCAGACATATACAGATTTGTTCAATGTGTTGAAACAGCAAACATTCACTGAGAGCTCTGCTTGGCAAATCAAGCAGTTCACTACCTTTCAAGATATATGATTATTTGATGTAATGCAAACTCAACACACTACTACCATTACCAGATTAATAAATCTGTAAACAAAACATCTTGCCAAAATCAAGGAATTGTGTCTTCTAAACTCAGTGAAGTCCAGCTTTTGAAATGTTTCTGACACAAGAGAGTACAGAATACCATAGATGGCTACTAATTAATAATGGGGATATACAGTGTACCAACTCAAGTAAGATTTATGTTAGTGCCTGCTGAAATATGGTACATGTATGTGACTGTAAGCAGATGGAAGGTACAGTGTAAAGTGAGGTTGAATTTATACTTCAGAATCATTAACAAGAAATGTTAGCGTTATAGTAAATCAATTTTATAATACTCCTTGATTGGCCAGTCTACTAAGTTTTAATATTGTAATATTGGAATTACTAACATTATGAAGCAAATATTTTCTCCCTTTCAGTCCATTCCAGAGAGCTATCAGAACAACTAAGACTACTGAAGAACAGTGCTGAAGAAGCCAAACAGGAGCTTACAGACTACAAACAAAAGGCTACAAGAATTCTTCAGGTCAGTTTGATAGAGTGGGTCATACTGCTTGATGGATACAGACATACTCAAGGGTTTTATGATCTTTATCTTTCACTTTAATAAAATGAAAATGATAATTATTGGGAAAAGCATGCCAAAACAAGTTCTGATTTGCTGCCTGCCAGGTTGGTCTTGTTGTTACTGGTATTAACATGAGTGATGTCATTTAGTTGAAAAGCTGGACTATAACAGAGTTCTTACATACCCCTCCTGTCTCCATACATGTCAGTATATAATCCTTAGACTGCGACTCGCATGGAGAGCTTTGTGTGGAACTTGTCTTTAGTAAACCAAAAGGATGTAGGATTTCTGATTCTTTTTGCCATGTGAATGCATTACTTTGCTCCGTGTCTGTGGTATTTTGCTGTTGGTAATTTGATTTATTACCCTGAATCTGTGTTCAGTCCAAGGACAAGCTGATCTCCAGTCTGAAAGAAGGAGTAGAGGGCATTGAAGGATCAACTGCTGTATCATATGAACTAGAGGAAATCAAGAATGAGAGAGACATGCTTAGAGAAGAACTACAACAAGCTAATATCAAGATAGAACAACTGAAAATGGATCTGCAGGTAAGATCAAACACTTCTTTTTTGTGATTTAAAGAGAAGGTTTAGTTTTGGTAAAGAAGAAAAATAAGCTGTGAGTTTTCTCATTCTTTGTTTAGGTTAGTTTGGAAGAACATGATTGTAGAAATATCTCCCGAAAAGGATTGCCCTTCAAATGTCCTCAAATTGAGATACAATGAGAAATAGCATTTAATGTAGTCCCATGTACAGAGTCTATTTCTGTTTGCAGCGCATGTGATTTTCCCCATGATTCCAATTTCTCTTCATTTTGATCATTCCACCGCTGCACAGTATACACAAATTCTTTTTAACTTTTCCCAGTTGCTTCCAGACCATTTTTTTAACAATTTGAGCTCATGACCAGAACTTCACTTTATGTTTTACTGAAGAACATGTCTCAGAAATAATGCTTTTGCAAATATTTAGTCTTTGCACTTATTGTAAAGATTGGAAATAACATACATTGGCAAGTCACCAAGAAAAGCCTTTGAAGTCTTACGACATTCAAATTGATCGCATAGGATAAGACCAGCATGTGCATTTATGTTTCGGCTTGAACATCTTTCATCTCTTCTAATATGTTGAAAATATTTGTTTGTTTTGGTTCAGGAGATTGAATCCCTACAGCAGATGGAGTCTGAAAGCCTGCAGGAGCAGCTGAGAGATCTTGAAGATCAAGAGATTCAAAGTCGTCAAAGTCTGAGAGAGACAGAGGCTGACTTAGCAAGGAAGTGTGAGGAGCTAAGGTACGCAGAAGAAGAGCTGCATAGACAAAGACTTGATCTGCAAGCTAAGATCAAGGACAGAGAGGATGACATTCAACGGCTACGAAACCAGGTACACACAATATCATTTGCTGTCTGTACTATCAGTTATAATGCAGGTATTACATTTAGTAGATTAGTTATTGAAGATTGGTATATTTACACTATGAACTTGAATAGATGCTTCAATAATATGATTAAGTTATTGGGTCAGTGAAGTATACCTGTTCATTGGAATGCTCAGTTAGATAGTAATATGACAGAGATGTTAGTATTACTACTCGTACTGTTACCTTAAAGTAACCCTTAAAATGGAATATGAGATGCACTGTTTACAGTTATCAGATGATTAAATAATACATTGCCTAAAGCTAGGTTAGAATCAGATTGAAGTTCCTATTCATCCTTTGTGTTCTCTGGTATCCTAGCTTCTTCCTCAGGTTACCTATGTTCCTCCAATACCATGTTTTCAGTACGCCAAACCTGTTAAAGACCTAGCTGTAAGCTCCAATCATCTAATTAACAAGTGTATGTACCTACAAGTAGGTACCTCATATGCATTCATTTGGAATATATTATACAGGTCTAAAAGTAGATAATATCACTTTCTTCTTTCAGTTGAAAACTAAGAGCATGAGTAGTTCTTCTGAGACTGAACTTGAAGGTCGTCTTCATGCTTTGACTGAGAGCCTCATTCAGAAGCAGACGATGCTGGAGACTCTTAGTAGTGAGAAGAACTCACTCGGACTACAACTTGAAAGGTTACAGGTATTGCTACAGTCATTTATAGTCAGAGATTTACAGATTTGCTGTGGGATTGTTTATCAAATAAAGTAAAATAATAATCAGTCACTCTTTAGGACGTTAAAACTATGTAGTACAGATCAGATCCTATGCTTCAGTTATACAGGTTTTATCTAGCTCTTGTTTTATTAGGCAGGAGTATATCATTGTATCAGTTAGTAAGTTTGGGACTTAAATGCTTTTGTAGATGATAGGTAAGGCGTATGTTGACAGTGACCTTTGAGCAGATAATTCATACAAGACTTCTGAACATTTAATGCGAGCTATTTTGATTTGAAGTTATGGTAGACTATAGAAATATTGATTGTTAGCATTTATTTTGTTACTCCTTTCAGAGACAGTATAAGGAAGTACAAGCCACAGCCAGAGTTACACCAACACACACCGTGAACATAGGATCTTATGAAGAGGAGGAAGGTATAGTAGCAGGGGGGTAACCGGACACTTTTTTTTTTTTTTTTGGTAGTCCAAAAAAAATCGCAACGACTCAGCCAACCGAAAAGTCACTCAGTACCATTATTTCAAGTGGTCTCAAGAATATATGTAGGGAAAAAGAATGTTTAAATATAAAGAATATATGATTTATGGGTAAAAATGTGAATTTTATGACCTTATGTGCATAAATTCCAATAAATATGCAAACAAGTAAATTTTTCAAAAAATTTATTAACCATAGTATTCTATACACTTCACTTGACATGCATGCACATTTTTGCGGCGATCAGTAGTTTCACAGCCGAGATCTCACCCCCCCCCCCCCCCACCTCACCCCAGTAAACTGTCCATTGTACTCTGATTTAATTTGATTTTCAATTTTGTAAGTGATCTTTAGGGAATCAAGAATATGGATTACTATGAATGCTACATTCTTTAGATCTGCTCTAGTTATACATGATCCTCTGCAGGTTCCACATAAGAAGGTTGTTGACTGTGCTCCTTCTTGCTTTTATTACCTTATTACACTTGGCCAATTTGCTCATTTCTTTGTGTTTCACATGCAAAGATCCTTTGAAATTAACATGAACTATTTTTCTGATTGCTAATAGCAAGCACAAGACAGCGGTTACCGCTGTTCATGCAGGAGGCTCCTTCTGATGGTGGAATGACCAGGAAAGTCAAGCAAGCAGCCAGCACTATTGATAAGTTCAGCATCAGACTGGGTGTCTTTCTGAGAAGATATCCCATTGCCAGACTCTTTGTCATATTGTATATGGTGAGTTATTCCAAATTACAAGACTCTTTGGCATATTGTATATGGTGAGTTATACCCAATTACAAGACTCTTTGTCATATCTTATATGGTGAGTTATACCCAATTACAAGACTCTTTGTCATATCTTATATGGTGAGTTATACCCAATTACAAGACTCTTTGTCATATCTTATATGGTGAGTTATACCCAATTACAAGACTCTTTGTCATATCTTATATGTTGAGTTATACCCAATTATAAGACTCTTTGTCATATCTTATATGGTGAGTTATACTCAATTACAAGACTCTTTGTCATATCTTATATGGTGAGTTATACCCAATTACAAGACTCTTGCATGGGCATATAATAATAATAGGTACCATATATTTATATATAGCACAGCTGCTATTTGGTACATGTATCATGGTATTCAAGATTTTTGGAAGAAAAATCATGCTTAAATATTCTTCAATCCTATTGATATACTCAGCAAAAATGTTTATACTAATTTGTCATTGTAACACAAATAGTTCTTAAAGCAAATGGTATAAATTTTGGCTAGTGAACATATTCTATGGAATTGCTCATGTGGTGATTTATACTCCATTCAAGTCTCTTTGTCTTATTGAGCATGATCACGCTTGGAATAACATAGTGAGTTGGTACACTCCCCTGGGAGTGGATAGTGTGCATTGTGAGAGAGTAAGTAGTATTAAATCTGATGTTAGGGATACTAATTAACTGTAAAATGCTTTAATCAGAAATTTGATAACCAGAAGAAAAGTTGTTATTGGAAGGAATGCTCATGAATTTTGAATGTTTTGTTTATATTTTATTTGCAATAGTTCTTGCTTCATCTGTGGGTGATGATTGTTTTGTTGACATACACGCCAGAGATTCATGGGAAAGAATTCAATGATGTACATCCTAAAGCTCCCTGACCAAACCAAACTTCCGTGCGTTACTACTCCTCATCTGCTCCGCGCGTGAGGCTGATCCTAAATCGAATTGCTTCTGCAGAGATGCACTTTCTCCAAGTAAACACGACATAGAAAATGGTATACGTTTCACCTGGAAGTGGAACCAGAAAACAACAATTTAAAATACTGAAGAAGCAAATAAGTCAATGTTGAAGCAATGTTCTGGTGGAAATTTAGCATCTCCTGTAATGGAGAGCCCATCCCGAAAACATGCTCAAGATAAATTTCATTAACTTTTTTTTACCTCAACAAATTCTTTAAGTGTCCAAGTTCTTCAACAACTACACAGAGCCTTCCCTATAGACCATATATTATATTCATGGTTGCAGAGGGGCAAATAAGTGTTGAATAACTTATATCACACTTCCCAGGTATGATTTATATGTTCAGCTTCACATATACAAACATGACTATTATTATTATTTATATAGTTTATTAAACTCCTGTTCCTAATAGAGGCAGTTGACTGCAAAGGTCCTTTACATGATTATACTCTCTGAAATGATTTCTTCAACAGATTGACCATACATACTTCTACATTGTTTTCTTTAGGATATCTTTTTTTTCTTTTTAGACAGTTTACCACTCAATGTTGAAATAGGGTTTTATGATGCTGTTGTACTCATTTCTTAACATTGTACAGATATTTATCATGAATGAATGAATAATGGTTATGTGATGTTGTATGAAGCACATGTTGTATCAGATGACTACACTATGAACATGACGGACAATGAAAGCGGACAAAATATACAGTTCCTAAGGTAGACAAAGGAACATCCCTTCACTGCTATTATGTAAAAATGTGTAGAACAGGTGAATCTGCATGTTACACCTGTTCTACACATTTTTACATAATAGCAGTGAAGGGATGTTCCTTTATATACCTGAGGAACTGTATATTTTGTCCGCTTTCATTGTCCGTCATGTTCATAGTGCTAACTGTTGGATTGATCCAAGAACTCCCTCTGGGGCCGGCCGCCGGGCTCTGGATGATGGCATGCATACCTATGTGATGGTTTTGTATGTATGGAATCTTTACATTGTCTGGTCAGTAGACCCTAAAGTTAAAATTAGTATTACCTGTCAATGCACAGTATGTATTTAAAGATGAATCATAGTTTCTTAAATGTGGTGATAAATTTTTTCCATATAATTCATCAATTTTTTTCAGAATTTTAAGTTTTGCCTTCTTTTATGAAATGAGGTTTCTTCTAAGAGGTCAATCATGTTATATTTATGCATGAACAGGAAGTGTCTTATATGTTTACAATGTGTATTTACATGTAATTCAAGTGGAACATTCAGTTGTGTGTTGCTGTTTTATAAAAACGTGTTTAAGGTGTTTCTGCATCATATTATTATTGTTTCCATGTAATGTGAACTCTTTGGTTTCTTGTAGAGTTTAATGGCAACACATTTCTATTTGATATTGATTTGTATTCTTGCCATAATTAGAAACTGTATTTCAAAAGTACATTTGTTATTTCATTTGAGTTCATGGAATCTTGCATAAATTGCAATGTGGTAAGCATGAGATAATTATTTGAGGCCTTTGGTAGACATATAATAGTTATACCTGTAAAATTATAATTACATTTTTGTTTTCCTTCATGTCATCCATTTATAAAGTCAATGCCTTCATGGACCAACCAAAACCATAATAAAAATAGATTCTGTAAGAGCGGAAAATAATAAGAGGATTATCAATCGACTGAACAAAGCTCTATCCTCACTTAACATTTTGTTTCCTCAATCATAACATGAATTTTCTGGACCATATTATGAAGGAAATGGTGTTCACTAGAAATCTGTTGAAGAGAGTTTTTCCCATAATATTGTACATTGTATATCAAGGAGATAGTTCAATGAATCCAAATGTACTTGATTTGCTCTTATTCTACGGGAGGTTGGATTATATTTAATTCTTTTTATCAAGTAACCAGTTTCACCTTGTGCATTTGAGACCTTTGCTTTCAGAGCTATAAATTCTACTGCTGAATAGATGTAGAAAGCAAACAAATATGTGTATACCATTTCATTTTTCACACAATAAGATCACATCCCACCCCCCCCCCCCCCCAGGCATTTTAAGATCAATGTATTCACTTTTGACCACATTCATTTGCATGTGAAAATGTTAAAAACAAGAGAGATTAGAGATTGCATATAATGCTAGTTCTTGTTAAAGGTATCTAAAATTGTAAGATTTTGATTTTTTGTTTGTTTTTTGTACGGTATCTGAGCTAATAGTCCAACTGCATAAATTGTGAAGGAGAACTATTTATTGTATGGAAGCACAGTTGTGTTAACATATTCATAAGTTACAACTACATTAGTATCATGCTGACATTGCACTTCCTTTAGTTGAAAACGGTAAAATAATTTATTGGAGTGAGGTATTTTTAATTATTTTTAGTAACTTTGAACATACTTTTCTGAGACTAAAGCTTCAAAATTTGAATTGATTTACACTTCCATTCTTTACAAAGAAAGGCCATAAATTCAATCTGATTATTTGTTATTAAATCAGAACACTTTAATGATAGGTCTGCTATACAGGATGGCCCAGAATGCAACACCTTGGAGCAGTCATGTGATTCTCAACCGTAGTTATCAAGACAGCTGATTGTACGGGAAGCCATCTATTTCTCGCTGCTTCAAGCAGGACTACATTGTACACTAGCAAAAGGGGCAAACTATGAAAACAAATCAAAACTCCTTACCAAAAATTGATGTTCTTGGTTTCATTTCATTTGGAAAATAATTTTCAACCCAAGAAAAAAACAAGAAACATTGTGTTGATTATGTTGAGGCTGCAGGTGTTGTGTTCTGTTTGGGCCACCCTATAATTCAACTGTCAAATGTAATTGGAGTATAACATTTCAGATTGCACTGCAGTTAAATGACTGAAGACAGGCAAAAAGAATATACTCCGAGGGTCAGATGATGTTTCTTTTTATTTTGGAATTGAGACAAATTAGCTTCTGCTACTGTATCATATGCTGAAATTAAGAATTTTTAACAATGTTGAATCTGCTTCTATACATAAAAAAGAGTATTGTACAGTATATAAATAAAGAGATTAAAAAAGCAATATAAATTGACTGCATTCGTTCATGAATTTATTGATGTATTAATTGTGACTACAATATGTAATACATGACATTTTAGGATTCATGTTTCAATACAAGACAAGTTTCATTTCAATTAACTTCACTGATAAATGTAAAAGTAGCACAGAAATATAGCTTAATTCTGATCGAGGAACAAAGAGGGTTGACTTTTTTTCCATTCTAATTGCACAGTTTAACCCATACATTAGTTATTAGAAGACATCTTTGAATTAATGAACAATCAAAAAATCTTTTCAATTCAGTTGAAATTGAAATCTTGAGGTTTTGTCATCTAATGAGATAGTGCGACACAGGTCTGATTAGTTCAATAATGAGAGATTAATCTTCTTAAAGCCATCTACAACTCTTTTTTAATCATTTCACCTAATAAGTATATACAGTTATATTTGTACTTATATTTGTACACTTTCTTATAAAATTGACAGGTAACATATATGATGGACCATAATACATGCTCAAAACTTGCACTTTACAATTCAAATAACACCTGGAATGAATGAAGAGCTATATATATTTATAGATTCTTAAACACAGTAATTCTCCTACAGGTAAAAAGATTAACAAGTTATCCAAATAACTCAATTTTTAGTACACATAGTTCTAACAAAAAATATAAGGGGGGGGGGGGCAAGGGCAATTTTCATTCATGTGTAATTTAGTCTTCTTTTTTTTATACTCTTTTTGTTCTCCAATATCTGAAAAGGAGGTCAATAGGGATGTTACACTAAATCCAAATCCCCAAAGATCATGTAAAGGAATATCAAGTCAGGATTTAAAAATACAGGTATTTCACTATACCTGTTGTATAAACTACTAAGTACTTCTCAGAGTAAGTGTTATGCCAAGATTTCTTTTTACCTTTAAACTTGACAGATGTTGTATCCTTATATAGTTCTACCAGGCTGGCAACTTTAATTTTACAATAGGCTTCATGTGAAGTTAAGTTGAAAATAATGAACAACGATTTGCTTAAAATAATGGAGTTAATATTACCTATGTTCGGATAGCTTCTGAAAATGTATCAATTTGTTAGCTTTTGCTCTCATTCCATATAATTTATGATAGAATGTATAATTTGATAAGAAAAATTGATATCTTATCCTCTTTATTCAGATGTCATAACATTCTGGATTTATGGTCTAGCTTTTAACCAAGTGAGCTTTAGATAACAGACTGCAGATTAGAGCAACAGAGTCACAAATTGTTTTGCCTTGCAAAATTTCTGCAAATCTGACCCCATTTTTACCTATCTAACACTGCATACCATTTGTTGACTCACTGCACTGTGTATTACAAGCTCACTATTTATAATCATAATATACTGGATACACAATTGGCAACCAATTGAAAGGGATTCCAAGTAACCTTCCAAATGTACAGAGATGTATAAAATGCTAAATTCAGACAACTAATTCTAAACAGCTTGCTAATCAATACAATTAGGAACAAAATAAATAACAAAGCACATATCACACCTACACCCAAATACATGCAGATAAATTCATGAAATTTACTGACATAATCTTTTACAAGAAATAAACCCTAAATAAAGAGTCTTCAAAATTAATTAACTTATGAATACAAATATATAATTGTTGCTTTTATATAAAAGCTCTAATGTTCATGAGATCAATTTGTCACTTGTCTACTCATTATACATCCAAAGTGCACCTCAGCAAGGATAATTCAGATCTCTAGATGGAGCAAGAACTAATTAATTACTTCTAACCCTTCCACTTTGATATGCTGACTCTATACCCAGAATGATCTGACTGCAAATTAGCACGACCAATTGGCAGTCTGATTTTCATTTCTCAAACTTTTTTTGATTCGTTTGTCTAATTTTTCTGCTTCTATTGAAAGTAAGTTATTTTTTGAGTGGACTTGCCCTTTAATATCTACAGGTGCATTTATTTAACAGTAAAATAAAGAAAAGGTCCATTACGTAACACATAAGAGTACTATACTTTTGATAATAATACCGGTAATAATATTGGATATTTGTATAGCGCACATATCCACCATGCATGGTGCTCAAAGCACTTCAACTATTACCCCGGCTCTGCTAGGCAGCCGATTTCGGCGCTCACAGCATTCAAGGAATTCCTTCCTACCGGTACCCATTTAACACCTGGGTGGAGAATGGCAAATGTAGATTAATATCTTGTCAAAGGACATTAGAGCCGTGGCGGGACTCGAACTGCAGTCCCTGTGATCCAAAGTCCAATGACTTATCCACTAGACCACAACACCTCTACTTAATGGCTGCTAGGTCAAAATCACCATAGTGCCTAGAAACATAGTATTAGGCAAGTTAAAAATTCACTGTATTATCATTATTTTATCAACATGAACAAATCTTAGTAAAAGCATTGGCAAAGCATATTTTCTTCACTGTTTGCGATGGAAAATTAAAAGAAATGATCTCACTTGGTTAAAACTGGATATTTCTATAATTAACTATAAAGAAGAAAGACGGTCATAATAGAACTTCTGATGTACATGTAATTGCAAAAGGGTTCTTTCATCATGAGTAGTCTAACTACAAGAGAAGACATCAATGCACATTTAATGTATACTACCATGCTTATAAACTTAGTCCTACTCCTAGGACAAAATATACATTAAATCAATATGCATGGATATATCTAACTAATCTATTTTTGACAATAAAAGGCATTACAAGAATGTATGTCTTGGACCATGAAAACAATGTTGGCAAGACTTTCAGTATACATATCTTACCCTTGATAAGAATCAATCAATAAACAGTACATTTTACTTATATCCAGTTGTCCAATTCCTTCTTAATAGATTTACCGAGTAGAAGTGAAAATCATTCTTTGATCATATAGTTTCATTTAACAATACAAGTAAGAATACTGAAGAGCTTATTGAATTTGACATACATCAAAATACCATTAAATGAAGCTACATATATTTAGAAAACACCGAAATCACTTGCATCATATGTATTGTCTTTCAATACCTTCGTCATGAAACGATTCATTTAATCCTAATGATAGTAAAGGTAAAAATGTGTCAAGGAAAGACAAACCATCATCCCCCCCCCCCCCCCACCACTTCTTTATTTGCTACTTGATTTGCTCTACATCACATTTATTTTCTCACTATTTATTATACTATTCTACATTGGTGTCTCTTCATTGCTTTTTTCAAACTAACCTCTTTTCATCAGAGGTATTTAAAAGGAAAAACAGGGTACTTGTAAAGGATTTTTAAAAAAGGTTTGGTTTTCAATACATTTATATACAGATGTAAATAATTATATCTGATTGATACACGTCTGTAAAAACCCAATTACACACATTCACTACCTTACTAACTACCTTTACCTTTGTAATAACTATTTGGCAGAGACATACAAACTATAGAGGGTAGCTTGGGGATGAAGCAGGGGAGGCAGGTAAACAAATAAACCAAAATCATCTGAACTCCCCTCGTTTCATCTTCAAGACATACAAAAAATGATGTGATTAACTGTTTATGTCCATACAAACACTTGGCATAATATTTGTTGTAATATATATATTTAATATATACATACATACACATAGAGAGAACAGAAGTGACTGATTGCAGCAAACAAACTTCAATTGTACATGCATGGTTAATATGATGTGTTATTTGCCTCAGACTATTGATTGTAAGATGATTCACCGTAGGTCAGGATCACTGCTAATGCTCTTCTTAATCCTCAATAAAATAGTAGTAAGCCATTGATCCAAACGAGAGATAGAATCATACTCCTTCACCTGTAATACAATACAACAAATAAGAAATATACTCATAAATGTAAAGTAACTCAAACATGAACTTTTAATGCTAAAAAAAACAAGACAGACATTTTTATTACTGAATTTATGAATCCCGCTAGTAGTTGGATGATAGGTAGATAAATGATATTTTATTGCATCTTTCATGAATGGCAGTTTCACAACTGAATTGCACATGAATTACATGAATCGGATATATAAATTGTAAAAAAACTTACAGAACAATTAGTTAAATATTATTTAAACGTGTCATGTTACTACTGCCTATGACTCCCACTTTTCATTAGGGCCCCATCTAATGAAAAATTCTGCCTAATCCAAATCACACTTGACTTGAGTGATGAACTAGAATACCAGGGTCCTATCTAATGACAAATTCTTCCTATTCCAAATCACACTTAACTTGAGTGATGTACTAGAGTATCTATCTATCTATCTATCTATGTCCTAAAGCTTGGAGGCTGTTGGGAGCAACAATGAAATGAACCTTGAGACACAGGTTCTCCATTACTACCTGTCCTAAGCTACTCTGTTCCCTGCTCAAATTTCTTCTCTTTTCTTTTTTCTTATTTAGTATGCTTTAGTGTTAACATGGTCATACTCAAGTAAGGGTGAATTTGAAAAGCATTATACTCTAGTTCCTCCAAGTCCTTGAAACTGCTCTATGAACTGATCTACAGCAGGTAACACATGAAAGCACAACTTACAGCTTCGGTATAGGCATCTTCATTCTGATCTTCTAAAGCTCCAATTAATTTCTATAGAGAAAACAACAAAAACAAAAACATCAACATGACAATGATATTAGCATTACAGTCTTCTGTTGCTCCAATTAGTTTCTACAGAGAGAAAAGGAAACCAACTACATCACCAAGTTAGCATTATCATGGTCTTCTAATTTTCTGATTACTTCCTAGATCAAAGTTCAGAAATGAGTCACAGTCTACAGACATGACCACCACTCAGTTATATTGGTCATCATTGTAAACATGTTGCTTATGACTTGCTAATATAACAGACACTGCGAATCCTGATGCTTCTTTCAATGAAACATGGACTAATTGACTCAAAGGTAAGAACAAATGATCCTTAACTTTAGGACCATGACTGGTATGAGCATACCGGTACTATATTCTTCTACATTTTTCTTCTTAAGGTGGGACTGGTGGGAATGTCCCTTAGTTCAAAGTTTTTGTTATAATAGAAGTTATCTATCAGTGTAAAATAAAAATCAATCTTTGCTTCTCTGTGTTGGTATGTGGTTATTTCAACACTCACACATAGCAATCATCAACATCTAAGAGTAGAATATGAAGAGTTACAATATATAACATATTAGGGATTCCTTTGTCGTTTTTCTAAAAAAGTGATCACGTTTCCCAATTTGTGTAACTCACCTTAAATAGGATTTAACCCAATAGCTGGGTTATAACAAGGCTATTCAAATAAATTTCAGCCTAGAATTGTATAAAAGATAACTTACTCGACCTTCATCTAAAATTTCTCAAAGGAGATTGCATTACTAAGACATTGATAGTGGGCCACAACATGTAGTGTGAACCAACTGAGATATGGACTCACCTGTAAAAGTTTATATTCCCTGCTATCTGCAAACGTAGCAAAGGAGTCATTATATCTCTGTAATGCTAACTGTGCATTCTGAAGGTCTATGCAAAGATGACACAATGCCGCCTGAAATAGAAAGATACATAAATTATATCATACACAAATAAAAACAGACAATCATTTATCAATACTTTCTGAATTTCTCTCATGCTACTCTACAAGAGTACCTGATAGGCAAGATGGCTAAGTGTAGGACTAGAGCAATGGTCTTGGAACCTGGAAGTCCCTGGTTTAAAAAAGGCCCCTGTTAGGACATAAAGCTACATCTATAAGTTCAACTTGTTCGGATATAGATGCATGTGCTCAATTTCTAATCAGTCTGGTAAAGTAAGGCCATCACATCAACGATTGGATTTTGCATTTTCCAGTCAAATTACAATATATGGTCACAGGTAGGGCTGTGTGAAAAAACAAAACAAACAAACATCAGTCTCTTGCACTATAAAAAAAAAAGAGAGTATAAATTACACCAATTTCTATTAAAGTACGGTATACAACTATAAACCTCAAAATCAGAACTATAAACCACAAAATCAGAACTATAAACCACAAAATCAGAACTATAAACCACAAAATCAGAACTATAAACCTCAAAATCAGAACTATAAACCACAAAATCAGAACTATAAACCACAAAATCAGAACTATAAACCACAAAATCAGAACTATAAACCACAAAATCAGAACTATAAACCTCAAAATCAGAACTATAAACCTCAAAATCAGAACTATAAACCTCAAAATCAGAACTATAAACCACAAAATCAGAACTATAAACCACAAAATCAGAACTATAAACCACAAAATCAGAACTATAAACCTCAAAATCAGAACTATAAACCACAAAATCAGAACTATAAACCACAAAATCAGAACTATAAACCTCAAAATCAGAACTATAAACCACAAAAAGTTGCAAGGTGTGATATTCAGTTTAATAGAGCTCAATACAGATGTATTTGGACTCGGTCAGGATGGTCAAATTTTCTTTTTCAGTATTTCCTTAAAGAGTATACTTTCTTCCATGTGATTTCAAACTTGACATCACAAAATAAGATAAAAGTGATATTTTGGAAGTGTTTTGTAAACCTATACTTTTCAGATTTTGAGCTGGTTTGAGTTCCTTTTCATGCATACATGCAGCTACTAGTTTTATTTTGATCTCCATGATATTTTAAAAAGAGTAAGCTGTTACATGGTTACTGAGATGAAATTACAGAACAGGATGTGCTTAATTAGTGTGCCATGTTATAGGACAATCTGTCTATTCCGTCACAGACATTTCAATAGAGGTTTAAACCTTGTTCCACCTTGCACAATACCGTAGGAGTCAGAGTGCTGGAAACCAACACAAATCAACTTTAAATGCCTTTTCTCTGAAATAATATTCTTTGGGAAGAGGAATATTCTTAGTTGGATGAGTAACATATCATGTTAAAGCTGAGAATCTCCATTTTCAGAAAGAGACATTAACTAAATGGTATTTTCTGGTGATTTTTTGGTAGTTCTGTGGTACCGGGTCACATTCGGTACAATTCATTGAAACACAGTGGATTGATGACATTCATACACTTCAGTGCATAGTCCATACAAAAAACAAAACTGGGGGAAATGAAGAAAAGATAACCAAAGTACTGACCTTGAAGAAATGATCCTTTGCGCTATACTTGAGAAGAGAATTGTCCATAGCTGATGAAGCTACTTCTTCATAGATCTGGCATGCCTTGGAATAGTTCATTTGTTGAGCTGAATACATGGCTACCTTCAACAGACATTTATTAGCAGAGCTTTCCAAACAAATAAGAAGAAAAAAAGAAGAAAAAAAGAAGAAAAAAAGAAGAAAAAAAAAATGAATTTCTGATAGTTAAAATCATTGTATAGCACTAACGAAATGATGATCAGAGAACTCAAAACCACCAAAGAGGTAACAAACTCCACAACACATGTGTCTTTATCTGGTAAGTAAGTTCTACAGACAAGAACTACAATCATGTCAAACACATTGGATTTTGGTGATTTCTTGGTATTTGTAAGCTAATGAATCATAATAATCTTTCTTCTTTGTAATATAAAAGGGGGTAGCTCCACATGACGTGAGCAAATAGACTACTGGTATTCAGAATTTATATTTTATTCAACCTTTGAGTCATTTTTCTCATCATAACCTTGCCTCCAAATAGAATGACCTCTAATTCTCTGGCCTTCCTATGACCCTTGTTGTTCATTTTTTCTTTTAGGACACATAGCTGCATAGTATTGGTATAGTAGAGTCCTATTATATCCAGTGGAGAGATTGCCCTATCTTAAAATCTCAGTGGGGCTTTTCAATACAAGGAATTATTACAATTATTATTTTGTTTTTAACGAGATGACAATGTTCTCATTCTAACCAATTGAGGAAAAGCAAGAGTGTGATTGAAAATGCTGCATGTCACATAATGAATATAGTCTTAGCATATGTCTAACCTGTTAGAGTCCTCTCCTTTGTAGAAGTCAGCAGCTTTCTCATAGTTCTCAATAGCTTTATCCAGTTCAATCAGTTCATTCTCATAGATCTCAGCTATGCTGATGTAATGCTTTGCAGCCATTGTAAACTTGCCTTTGTCTGTGTAAATTTCTATTGCCTGCTGCAAAGAAGATATAGCCTCTGTAGAAATATATATGGTAGAAAAATAAAACAACAAAGATGGATTCATAATGGATTTAATCATTTTTCTTAACCGAAGAAAAATACACACATCATGATTTTGAAATAAAAGATAAGATATTTGGATGTATGATGGGTACGAGCAAGTAGAAGCATAATATGTCAACCTTCTTTGGTTGTGTTAATTGGAATGTGCAAAAACTTGTTGGAAATACTAATGGGCGGGACTGAAATAAAAGGTTTGTTGGATGACCAATGGACATATTACGTTTTGTCAAGGTATTCTAAAAGTTAAGCCCATCATTTGATTTTTTGAAAGTTTGGAGAATGGCCTTCCATCTTTTCAATCTGGTCATCTATATGATTTGGAGTATCTTTATCTTGTTTTTTCTTTGCTTCCGTCATAAAAATTTAGGGACCTTGACATAGCTTTTGGACACATTCATACATTGCCCATGCGCACGCCGTTGTACACTGGAGGTATGTAAGTCTCATCATCATCATCATCATCATCATCATAAACATCACCATCATCATCATCATAAACATCATCATCATCTCATCACCATCATCATCACCACCACCACCACCACCACCACCACCACCACCACCACCACCATCATCATCATCACCACCACCATCATCATCATCATCATCATTTTTATCATCAACATCATCATCAATTTGATGATGATTATAATTATTATTGAAATATTATGAGGCTATATCTTACTTTTAGGATCGACTTTCTTGTAGCAGCTGCCTGCATCTACATAGCTTGTGGCTGCTTCATGCTTACTGTCCAGACTAATAGAAACGGTGGCTGCTCGACAAAATGCATCACCAGCCTCTGAATAGGAACAATGAAAAAATATTGATGTGGAATTAAGAGACACACATGTAGTAAGAGGAAGTGACAAGGGTATCTAATGGTAAACAATTTGAATATCTTATATTTCGAAAAAAGTGAATAATTACTTTTTGTCTTGACAAGTTTGTAAGACCAATGACAGTATGATGAATCTATATGTAAGTACACATACTTATGTCAAGGAATTAAGTTTCAAATTCATATTCATAAGCAGTGTGCATGAAGCTAATCAGTAACATGATTAGTAAAATGCAATATTATACTCTAAATGACAGATAATATTGGCTATCCAATATGATCTACAATGTACATGTACGCCCTACTAGAACAATTAACCACCTGGAGAGAAATTATGTTACACAAAGGGGATACAAATCAGTATGTTAAGCTTCTGCCCAAAATGAAGGCCTGGCATAACAACACATATATTACCCTTCCAATTAATTTTCCTGTCACTGTTAACTTCTGTTAACATGTAGAAAGATGATTTACATGTACAGGCATGAATGAGATGTTCATGCCTATCTGTACATTTTACTGTAAGAGTTTTGTAAGAGGGAATGGATAATTACAATGAAAAGAAATGTAGTAAATTGAAAAAACATCAACAACAAAATCTCCATTTAGGACCACAATATTTCCATTCTGATATAGCAAATTGAATATTATTATTATTATTATTTCAATGGCTTTCAAAGGGCCAGTTCTCCTCTCCCTCCCCATTCCCCCTCATTGCAAAATCGAAGAATAAAATTGAATTACCCAAAATCAAGTTAATTGTGAACTGTTAATATTCCTTGAATCATAAAGGCTAATATGAAACCAAAAATAGAAATATCTCAATCATGTGTCTTACATGTGTCGTAAAAGGACTCCTAATGGCCTAGCCTTTGGTATAAACGTCAAATTAACCAGCTATAAATAACCCATTAATATAATTATTCTTTCTAAAATGATCTTGTAAAATTAATTTGAATTGATTAAAAAGTATGATTCATCTGAACATACCACAATTCAAAGATTGACAATTAGCTCTTCGATGGATTAATCATTGTACATGTTAGTTTTCGGGGGCTATGGGATAGGAAGAGTGCAAGTATAAATTATCTTCTCGTTAAAGAACACTACTGATTAACTTTTTCTGAGTTTTACAGTCTGCTTCTACATGTATCTCAACAATGCAATCAACAATACTGCCCTCTATGATCCTGCTGACCCTAATCCTCATTCCATATCAAACATTTCTGGATTTGTAATATCCCGATCAAATTTGTCCACAAATTAAAACAATGCTATATAATACCTCTGGAAGGTAGAGCAGGGTTCACGCTCATATGGAACAATAATATTCTATCCAAATCAAAAAACTAACTCAACCATAAACACCCTTTTCCACAAAGCTACTATCTTAGGTAAATTCTCAATACCATTATTTTTTCCCCATAATTATTGTCTTTATCATTATTATTATTATTATTATTAATAATATTATTATTATCATTATTATTATTATTAATCACCATTATTTTGAACTATAATTACCATTCATTATCATATCATCCTCATGAATATTACCATTACCATTAATTGAATTATTATTAATTACCTCAACAGCATGGTTGTTGATGTTGTTGTTGCTGCTGTATATAGACTACTGTAGTTATGGTGTCTCCATTTTACAAACAGTTTTATGTCAATGATAGAACTGATCAATAACCACTTACCTTGCCATTTTTTTGCCATCTTAAACATGTTAGCAGCCCTCTGATATAGCTCACATGCTTCCTCTTGTTTCTGTGGCCCTCTGAAAACATACAATAACATTTCCAATTGAATATTTGATAAAACTAACAAAATGAGCCCAATGCACAAAAATACTTAAAAGTTGAGTGTGAACAACCCTGTCAGTACACAGTAGTATTAAAGGAGCTCCTGTATTCAAAGCTGTGTATAGGTTACATGTATGACCATAGTGTTAACCAATATTTTATATCTTGTTACTTGGTTGATGATATTCCAATCTACCGTACTCCTTGTGAATTTTAATTGGAGGTCAATCACTTATTGACAAAACAATGAATGATAGTCAGACAGCATTACTATTTATATTGTTGAGTAAAATCCAATATCACCTTGCCTCTGAGCTGCATAAAAGGGAAATGAAATTCTGAATTTTTTGAAAATAAAAATCGACCCAATAGTAGTTTTATGCACAGGAGAAAAAAATATATCAAATACCGCTACATGTAACATACATGTAGAACCCCATTTCTCAATCCGCACTTAAAAAAAAAAATCTTAACAAGATACTACAAAGTACAAACCAATTACTTACATTAGTTATATACTTTGTCTTTTCATGTGTTTTTTTGTATTTGTAAGTTTATAGCATCATGAAGGCTACCAATTCATATACCGGTAATCAAATTAGTATTTAGATCTCCCATTATTTATCAATACAATAATATGCCTGACATGACAGAAACACATACTCAATTTCACCCCATCTCTTTATACCAATCAGGATGTGCCCAGATGTGGCCTTTAAATACAGTGTATACCGGTACTTTAATAAACGCTATTTTTACATTAGGGCAATTCCACGGTAACGGAAGGACACTCAGACAAGATTTTTGAACTTCAGGTTCATACTAAAAGAAATGTTTTATTAGTATGTATTAAACTATGGGGAACAAAATGTGTTTCAGTCAAGTGGAAAGCTTCATCAACTTCACAAAGTTTGGATAAACACTAATTAACTGGAAAAACCATGTCCATTTTTATGTCCTTCCGTTACCGAGATAATTAATATGCACATTCTTAAACTACTTAACTATAATGACAATTTTTTGGGGGAGAATTAAAGGCACTTATATAGGTATTATATCTGTACTGTTTCACATCTTATACTAATAAAACAGTTCTTTAAGTATGAACCTGAAGTTCAAAAATCTTGTCTGAGTGTCCTTCCGTTACCGTGGAATTGCCCATTTATACATGTTTCTTGATTTTCTTGAAAAGAAAGAACAAATAATTAATAAACATGAAATTTAATCTTATTCATATTTCTTCTAAACTTTTGTTGAACATAGCGAACATTTGTGTATTTTTTATGTTGATATTTAGTTCCTTGGTTTGCCAATTGTACAATGGCACATGTATGCAAGCTTATCATGCATACCTCTGTTATTGACATTTACAGCTAATAGTACACCATGCCCACAGTGGGCAAAGGTGAATTAGACAGTTCACAATAAAGATAAAACAACTGATATACAAGTTTAAAACCTTTGGATTACAGATCTAAATATGTACACTCCTAAACTAATAGGTAATAGTCAGTCACCATGGAAACAAAACTGCTGTCCACTATTTCACATAGAGCCTACATGTAGCCTGACTTATGGATCCTGCTAAGTATCGTCGTAGAAGTAGAAGTAGATGTACAATGTAGTTTGATACATCAGGTGGGTAGATCTATCAAACCAACTTTGATTTTATACAAATTATTCATGTTTGCAAGTGCATTAATGAATAAGCATTTGCATGGAGCCTAGCTGGCCTGGAGGTTACGTCACCAGCGGATAATGAATGAGACTTCTCAAGTTCTCATTAAATGAGCAACAAACCCGATCAGAATGCCAAGAGTCACAGAGTCATAGAGGCTGTTTCTTGTGTTTTTGAATGCAATCTTAACTGTACATGTACGTGCATCTCAAGTTAAAAATCAGATGAGTGTTTTGGAGGACCAACCAACCAAGTACCAAGTACCATCAATGTCCTTGCCATATGAAAATTGACCTACAGGCTACATTCTATGTCTTAATCTTAGTGCATTTGTATAGATATTTCATGACTTTGTAATACCCACAAGCCATGTGTGTGGCCTGTGGACAGGATGGTTACCAAGATAATTGATTTCAAACAGTAATTTGATGAATTTTACAGGCAATATTTCATGAATCTTATAAGACTCATCTGCATGTTGGGCAATATAAATTCAATATAAATGATGTTGACAAATCTTCATGATAGTTAGTGCTCATCTTATTTGATGCATATTTTTTGTATACACTGTATATTTATCCAAAGGCAAAAAATAATATTTTGGTTCAATGTCCAAACACACGTTCACACACAAAAATCAGACATGCATTATCACTTCTCATCTACATGTACATGTACATGTAGATGCTGAACAGGCGTTGCTGAGTATTACCATAGAAGTACATGTAGAAGTAGAAGTTCTCTTTTTAAGTTTTAGAAGTGGTTATCCCTTTACTCAGGGCTTTTTTTTATTACTTTTTACTCAACATCCCCCCCCCCCCCCCTTCGAGCCAATTTCTTTTTTTTTACTCAGGCTTATTTCACGAAGCTGACTCTACCATGTCTAGAGTCTACTCTAGATCTACATGTACATCTCTAACTAAAGCCTCGGTCACAAATACGATTGCAAACTGCTACGAACTCCATACAAACGATTTTCAGACCATTTCGTAAGATCTTCTTAAAAAGGCTGTACGAAACCATTTGTAGACCATTGAATACCTTGAATACCTTGAATACCAAAGCTTCTGGAAGAAAACCGTCTCCAGCTGCCAAGCTTCCAGGTCTAACTTCAAGGGGGGGGGGGATGTCCCAGCTTCCGGGTCTTGCACCATAGTCATTTTACATCTGTATCTTGCTTGCTGGGTCATATCAGGATTGTCATAACTGGAGTGTCAACTGGGAGAAGGGTGAATGATATTGCTCCTCCTTCCAGTGTTCCTTCTTCCAGTGTTTGTCAAGTCTGGCTTTAAAGCTGTTTACCGAGGTTGCAGATACTACCATTCATATGGTCTCGTCCAAGATTTTTTCGACTTTGTACAAAGGTTAATTGTAATAACACCATAAGAACCATGCAAGATCTTCGTACATTTCGAAGGGTCGAGAGACAATTCTAGAACTAGAAGCCTATATTCTTACGAAGATCGCAAGAACACCCTAAGTAGTTCATTAAAGGGCTCTTAATATAGTCTTAGTCTTACGGCATTCATCTTAAGATAGCCTTACCAACAGAGATTCGTATGGCCTTCGTACGAACAACTCCTGGTGTACGAACAACTCCTTGTGTATGTAAAGCATTCGAAAGGTGCTCACAAGGTGTACTGTAAGTACAAAAATTATGCAGGGCTTTTTTTGCAACCCTAAAAATTATCAAAAAAAATCATAAGATCTTTTTAAGAATGACTACTAGAGAATGCTGCCAGTTTCACGTACGACCATCTTGCGAGAACAAAAACTTGTAAGTCTGACAATAAGAATTAAGAGGAATTACTCAAGGCATTCTTACGAGAAATAAAAAGAAAAATCAAAAGGTGTTAGAGTCTAGGTCTAACATTGTCATTAGGCCTAGTAGTAGACTCCATAAGCATGTCAGATGTGAGAAACTATGCCCCATCTACAAATTTGTGACCGTACTCCGTAGCTTTAGCCAATTAAGTATTAGAGTCTAGTAGATCTACGTAGACGTTATGTCAAACGAGTACCGGTATAGATTCTAGGGCCTAGTCTACATTACTCGCTAGAAATAGAATCCAACATTGGAATCGAAATTCAAAGTCTAACCGTTAGATCTAGTACTAATAGATTCTTAATAGTCTAGCCTAGGATCTCTCTACAGAGTACAAGGTCTAGATCTACAAATTAAAAGGTTATCCTATACTTTAGTGTGTTTTATTATTTTGGGACGTCACTGTCAACTTGATTCGATCTATTTTTAAGCTTTAGTTATTTAGACCTTATTAGATCTAGATCCCTAACAACAGTTAGACTAATACTAATAGATCTAATTGTTGTTGAACAAAATGAATCACAAATCAACTCACCCAAACATAGAACCAAAAAATCCCTGCGAAGACTTCAGCTTCTTGTCAGCATCAGCCATGAATTGTTTCCCTTTGACTTCGTTATCCGCCATTCTGTAATTTTGTGTTCAATAAGTACAGTAGAATAAGAGGTACTTGGTCTATCAAGCTACAAATTGTACGTGTAACGTGTGATGTGGATATGATCGATGATGTCATTGAATGTGGTGGCCCTGTTGCGATATTTCTTCCTCACCCTGGCCCTGCACTGCTGAAGCTGAACCTAATTGCATTGCACACTGTACGCAGTACACGTTGATCTCTCTCGCTCTCTCCTCTCCTCTCCTAGCTGTGCACCCGCGGCCGGCCGGATGCGGAAGCACATCGAGCTCCGAGCCAGCATGACATGATAAAGGCAAAGGGTAAAGGTCACTGATGGACCGCGCCGCGCGCGCGCGATATTCGATTTGTTTTTATAAACAGCTGATATTATGAGCCAGCTGCTCTGCTGAGCTCGACAAGGTAAAATTTTCACACGCACTACACGTGATTAAGTCAAGCGGAAAAACAATAAGCTTTGAAAGTGGCTCCACATGTCAGAATCAGACAAACACAAATGTATGGTGATGCATGGATTTCTAACTCAGCGAAATCACTTTCTGTAAAACTAAAGGCTGATGTCGATGTGTTATGTGATGGGCCCTTCTTTGTTGATCATGTACCGGCCTCTGCACTGAAGTTCTGGTGAATTAACAAATTACTGTCAAGACTAGTAAGTGGTGCATGAGCGTGATCCTGAAACTGAGAGAGAGATTATGAAAGAGTGAGGGGTTGATCCAGTCGGAAAGAGAGGTGTGAGAGCAGGAGCCAAGTAGCGATAGCTTTGTGAAGCATTCACCCTTCGTTTTCGTGTTGGAGTATCTCCCAGCGTCTTGGCCAGTGAGTTATGAGGTTGTCTCTGAGAGGAGTGTAGGCACTCACCCACCGCGTGGATGATTGTTTCTTAATTACTGTTTCGTGTCAATTTTCTTATCTTTTTTGGATTATTATTCCTTAAAACAAAGCAGTGGCAGATCCAGCCCCCCCCCCCCCCCCCCCCTCTTTGGAAAAAAAACATGTTATTTTTACCTTTTTTTGGGGGGGGGGGGTGCAAATTTTTAAATTTTCAAGGGGAGAAAAAAAATATGTGCTCTCCCCCCCCCCCCCCCCCCCCCTCCCCCGCACTGAGCAAATTTTCGGCCGGCGCGGTTTTCAAATTTTTGGGAGCAAAAAAAAAAAAAAAGACGTTGGGCCCCCCCTAAGAAATCCTGGATCCGCGCCTTTATGTATTTTGGACAATGTTCAGTCATGCTTCTACACTGTAAGTTCTAGGTTAGTCAAGAACAACATTGTTTATGATGCATTTATTTGTAATCTGTTCATATTGAAGTAAAATTAAACAAAACATTTTGTACACTGTATTGTAAGGATGCAGGATAATTTAACCCTTAATCAATCATTTTAGAGGATTATTTGCTGATGAGAACAGACCTGATCAATATGGCTTCAGAAGATGACCTCCAGAAAAGCAATTCTGCCACCTATCTGATGTCTCTATCTTATCAACGCAATGTAATGCGTAACCATCGTAAGAAGGCTGCTGCTGCTCATCCTGTATCAAGATTAGCAGCAAGGAGACAGACCATGCTTGGACCTCAGAGTATTGTACTACCAGCCCATCTTCAACATCTACAGGGAGAAGATAACTCAGAGAGCAAGTTAGATGAAACAACGCTTAAGAGGTTAGCTTCAACGCAGACACTAAACAAACTCAAAACAAATTTAAGGAAGTTTACTAATTCTTTATAATGTGAGCATATTGTAATTATATATAGAAAGTTTCACTTGATTTTATTAAATAGTTTAAGAGCTTTAATCATGGCTTGGTACTTACATGTATAGACAATAGATTTATGGCCAGGTCTGCGAAATTTGTCCTGTATGCTATGATACCCATTTTCATTCATTTTAATTTAATTTTTTTTTCTTAATGTGACTATAATGTGACTAATTTATTATGTTTATTAATCTACAATGGCCACACAGCAATTTGATCAATAGTCTACATGTAGATGTTGCTTCATATCGTCCCATACCATACCTGGTATCATCTTTATCTTTATCTGTTTCTCTCAGCCCAGTCATTGTTGTGTAAATCATTACTACATGGGAATAAATGATTCTATGAATTGAAATTTGAGCAATCCAACAGTTGCAGTGATTGTTAAAATCCTGATAACCATGAGTATGTCATCTTTCAAACTTTTTTTATTTTTTATTCAACTCCAAAAGTTGCTCAAGTCCTATATTAAATTTGTAATCCCTATCTGTTACAACAAGTTGCATTCATTTTTTTACTTGTGTTTTTTGTATTTACATTTGATTTGATTTGATTTGATTTATTGGTTTCTGCATCTTTTTTTTTTTATCATACATTTTCAGGAACATTCTTGTTTAATTTTATAAGAAGCTCCTGATCGAGTATATTTTCTGTTTCATTTTATTTTCCGTAGACTATTTTTCAAATGTGAGCATTGTTTGTCTTGTTCCCAGATTAGATTCCATGCGTAGTGCACATGCCTATCAAGCTCATGATATCAACAAACATGAGGATGAAGAAGAGGAGGAACTTGAGGTGAGGAGAAACAAGATTCTTGGAGATGCAGGATTCTTACGACATCAGCTCTATGATTTGACAGAATCTCCTCTCTTTACTGGGTTCATCCTCTGTGTTATTTTGTTCAATGCTTTTATGCTGTGTGCTCTCACATTCAGTGTAATTAAAGTTAGAGCAGGTTAGTCATTACAAGGTTCTATTGGTTTTGGTGGTATTATCTCATTCAGAGGCTGTTCGAAGTTTCTCATAGTTCATGAATAACTCCCATTTTCCAGCCTATATGTTTTTTAAAGGGGGAAGTCCACCCTGATATTGAGTTGTTTCTGTAATAAAAGTTTGAGAAATATCTGCCAAATTAAAGAAAAATTAAAATAAAAGTGTACAGTTACAATGTGAAATAGACAAAAGGCGAAATTACAATTCTATGACATACAAGTGTAGATTTCAATCACTTCTGCCATTTACTTTGTACTGAAAATTACAATTGTTTTGGTTGTTGATAAAGAAATTGATCTGTTATGTAAAACCTAAATGCAATAATTTCAAATTGTGTGTATGTATAATTATATATTTTCTTTAAATAAATAAGAAATTTATAAAAGTTTACCACAGATCAAATGGGAGAGGTAATTGAAAGTTATGTCACAGAACTGCCATCTCTCAGTATGAGGATGGGAGATTTGGCCAAAGGACCATTGTTAAACCATTACCATTCTATTGTATTTTTTACAGAATGGCATTTCAAGCTTATTGACTACATCCTTCTTGTCATCTATTTCATGGAGTGTGCTATTAAGATCTATGTTTGGCGTTGGGACTTCTTCAAAGAAATGTGGAACATTATGGGTGAGATTCATTCGTACTAAAACATTTATCGAAAAACTACACACTGTATGGTATCCGCGCTCGCAAAAAAAAACTTTTTACATGTAAATCAATGGGGATCTCAACTAAATTTAACTCTGCATCTTTGTCATTAACTATCACCCGTTACCCGGGGCTATGGGCATAGTTTGGTTCTTTGCGGGCATGGCTAAAATCACGAATCCATTTTCGACCATTCAGATGTAGATTAATTCAATATACTAAAGAGAGGTATATAAAAGTATATATATCCACAAACTTCATATCACTGATAAATAATTCACTCAGTGTATGGGATATAACAAATATCTTTCTGTATGTTTTTGGACAGTTCTTTTTATAATTTTCTTTATTACCATCTTAAGATCGTATTTCATCATACATTAAGGCCATCCAAGCATGCATTCACTCCATGATCCTTCTGATATACTGCATCAGTGCATGGGGCACAGAAGTGAATGAACATTATTTTCTATTCAACATTGTAGATTCGGAACAACTCAACAAAATTCTTAACTTGGACTGGTTTTGTTATGTTAATTTTAGATGATATGATTTGTCCCCAGACTTTCTGATTGTTATATCTAACGTGGCTGACTTTGGGATTGAGATCTTCTATGGTGGTGAAGTTCAGATTCTTGCCATTCTAAGTATCTTCCGAGCCATGCGAGCATTGAAAGCCCTCAGAGTACTAAAAACAGTCAGGTCAGTTAACATAGAATCCAAGATTAGGACTATCCAGGAAGTTGCTCTATAATGTAAAAACACACCAATGAATCTGAATTGGGCGCGCTTTGTAGGGTGTCATTGTATGACATCACTAAACGATGGATGTGAGTACTTTACACAATCCATATCATGAATGGAAGTGAACATTAGACAATTTGACAAGTTCCTGTATGACTTCATAACACTGTATCCAAAGATGATTATCTTTAAAATGCTCAGGTTTATTCTAATGAATACTTTGTACTGTTGGTAAAATCTAGATTAGACCCATTGTTGAAGATGCCATAAAATGGATGTACCCGTGTGTTAGTTGATATTTAAACTATACCAATCTTGCATGCTCTGCCTGACTGGTATATGGCCAGAGGGAGACATTCACTTTCCTCTCAATGGCCAAGAAATTTCCAACAAAATACGACATTTGTCTTTACATTAGCACATTCCTCAATCAAGTTAAAGATTCCACTTACTTCTACTTACTTCCATTTACAATTTTATTGTACCCCCTCCCCCCTGCCGCGTCATACTTTTGTATGCGGCTCTAACTGCCACATTCCTTGACATATTTCTTTCAAATTTTGTATGGAGGTTTACCTTGGTATAATCTACACACCTACAATTTGTGGTGATGCTGACCCCAGTTTTCCATCTTCTATAGGGTAAAAGGCCATATATTGTTGTGGATGGTTTAGTGTGCGCACTATAGGCCACATTTCTTAAGGGATTTTATTCAAATTTTGAACGAAGGTGTATCTTGGTAGTTGTCATTTCCCTTCAAGTTTTATTTTATTCTAGTTTTATTTTTTCTTAACCTATGTAAGATTTGATTGTACATGTCTGAAGATTATATTTATGCATTGCTTATTCTCAATAATCTCCTAGGTTTCTACGGAGCTTACAGGTGATTATGAATACCTGTCTAGAATCGGTTCAATCTATGGGGGCCATCATCATGCTCATCTCTCTCTTTCTCTGTATCCTTTTTCGTTGAAACTTGCTGTGATTGGTGAGGCTGTGTTCTCAAAATAGTTTTGCACACAAGTATACAAGTTTTCTCTTAACTTTCAATATGCATCTAAAAGAAAAAAAAAGAGACTTTGGTTCAAAAAGAATATGCAATCTTTATATCAAAACTTCAACAATTCTTCTTATTAACCACATTTGAATGTAATATTATATACAGATGCATGAAATGCAATACTCAAATCTAGTATACATAATTCAAGAGCTGCATTAAACCATATCAGACACATCTGCATTAGATGCATGAGTAATCATCAGCTTTATAATAATGTATTTTACTAAATTTCAATTATTACAAAAAATAATAAAAATCATGGCGCCTGCTGGAGCAGTGTGATTATGTTTCCTTGACTGATCATCTTCAGATATATTTGCTGTGATAGGTCGTGGTCTGTATGCTGACATTGACAAAGAGAGATTTGGAAACATTGGATCTGCTGCTCTTACTCTGTTCCAGCTCCTTACATTGGATGATTGGTTCTACATCTACTCAGATGCTGTAGCTAGAGATCCAAGTAGGTCTAGAGTTTAATTGGTTCTACATCTACTCAGATGCTGTAGCTAGAGATCCAAGTAGGTCTAGAGTTTAATTGGTTCTACATCTACTCAGATACTGTAGCTAGAGATCCAAGTAGGTCTAGAGTTTAATTGGTTCTACATCTACTCAGATGCTGTAGCTAGAGATCCAAGTAGGTCTAGAGTTTAATTGGTTCTACATCTACTCAGATGCTGTAGCTAGAGATCCAAGTAGGTCTAGAGTTTAATTGGTTCTACATCTACTCAGATGCTGTAGCTAGAGATCCAAGTAGGTCTAGAGTTTAATTGGTTCTACATCTACTCAGATGCTGTAGCTAGAGATCCAAGTAGGTCTAGAGTTTAATTGGTTCTACAATTAGGTTTATCAATTTAGTTTAGTTCTACATCTCCAGCAGGGGACCATCGAAGCGAAGGCATGCACAGTATCAAAGCCATGGACTTGACTACCTCGACTGATTTAACAAAAGAACAAGACTATAGGCGTAAATAGGCAAATTTGACTGAACGCCCAAAATACAACCAACAACAACATTTAGTTCTACAATTAGGTTTATCTTTTGTTGTTGTTCTATATTTACATAGATGAGATCCAAGTAGGTCACAGTTTAGTTTTTAGACTGTTAAGTGGAATGTGCACTCGATACCTAGCATATACATGCCTGTGATGGATAGTATACAAATAACGCACGTCCCAGAGTGCAATAGCGGTGAATGCAGTACGCGCGAGGTTTCTTTAGATTGGTGCCGCTCTGTGCAACGAGCCGCTTGCGGCGAGTTGACAGTGCGAACCATCTGAAGAAACCGAGCGAACACTGCATTTACGTTTCGCACAACAGGGTCAAGTGCGTTATTTGTTTTATAAAATAGCGACACGAACAGCAACAAACAAAAGTTTAGATCTTAAGTACTGGTATACGAGAGTTCGATCTAGATCTAACTTAGAGTTATGTTGGTTCTAGAAATAAAATGAGGGTCTAAGACCTTGCAGGCTTACCAAAAAGTCCACGGGATTCATTGTTTTATTAAAAATAAAATGCATAGGGTGTCTAGAGACGAGTCTACATCAGACAGCTGAAATTCCTGGCTTCATTATAAAATCCAAAAGTCAAAACAGGCCTAAATCCAAGGCAAAAGTAAAATAAAAATTTGCTTTTTAATAATACCCCGCTGGCCGCTCTAGCTAGCTAGCTAGAGCTAAGCTACGCGTACGTTGCGCTGGGGATCATGGTGGAGCGTACGATATTAGCTACGCGTAGCCTACAATAATTGCAATGCAACTCGAGGGAGCGCGTACTAAACGTACGCGCGCGCACTGGATCTCCATGGTCACGCGTACGCACCGTGCAATATAACTTTTTACTGCGCTTTTTCTGCACTCATTTCTGCAAAATCGTGCTTGCATCAAATTTTTTTCAATGTCATGTGACGCGTATTGACCAATCACGATGGTTAAAATACTAGAGCCATTTTATAATCCTAAATGATGCATATCTCTTTTTATTATCATTTTGTTACAGATAACTTCCACATAATATTCTACCTGATAACCTACATTGCTCTGGAGTATTTCATCTTTCTCAAGTAAGTCAGAGTAATCATTTAATCAGATTTTAAGATTGCATGAAATATGGTTTCAACAAGATAGTTTGTTTTGATCAAAACAAATATTTAGTATTTAATAAGGCATTTCTTGCACATTTGTTGTATTTTTCAAGGAACATAACAATATTGTTACTCCTTTGATCATAGTTTGATTTTGTAGATGTTATTCATGACACTAAGAATGATAATTGTTTTTATTTGTTTGATTTCTAGTTTGTTTGTAGCTGTGTTGGTAGATAACTTTCAACTGACGTTGGATGCAGCCAGTGAAAGAGATGCTCTCAGAAAAGCTGCTTTGGTAGGTCAAGCTCCATATATATGAAAATGTAGATAATCATCATCAATCATCAAACAATGACACTATACCTGTACTCTATTGTTTTACATGTCTTTAACCATGATGAAAGTGATTATCAAGTGCATGATGTAAACAAGTAATGAGCACTCTCTGTGCATATGCTTTAAATACATGTAGATATTTGTTGGTCTCATAAAAATTTAGTTGATATCATTTGAACTAATGAAATAGTACTATGTGAACATAGTGCTGAATGTAATGTATGAGCATAATATTTGAATGAATGTTATAACAAGCACATACATGTATCATTCAACACTGTGAATTAAGTCAAGGGCACATTTGTGTCAAAGAAATGAAGAATCAATCAGAGCAGCTAGGTGCGCATAAATACTCTCATGTAATCATTCTTGATTGTCCTTCTCAGAAAGAAGCTGAAGATGCTCTCTTTGATGATGGTATACACACACATCCACTGGCTCCTAAACCAACATGTTAGTCAGGATCAATCTACAATCCTTCTATCTTTTATTTCTTGCTGGGCATACATTCTTGTTTTCCATTGCTGAAATTCTCAGATTACGTTTATTAAGAGATTAAGATTATTCTAAGATTGCAATTTTAAGTAGGTACCACAAATTGAGCTATTTGCTTAGATGATACAGGGAATCATTGATTTCTGAATCTTGAAACTAGTTTGTTTAATAATGAGATTGTACAAATGATAACTGTACCTCTTTTATCATAATTTGCATTGAATTGCAAACTAAAACACAAATTATGATCAATTTGGGCAATTTTTAGGTCTCTTAAGGTACTTTTGTTTTATAAATGTAATTGAATTATATTATAGTATATTCTTTCCTCTGTGTATTGTAAAGGTCTTATAATCTTGCATAACTATTATTAAAAATGGTTCAAAAGAATAGTATTGGAAGTTTTAAGAAAGATTATCCGGCCTATCATTTAAAGTATGAGAATAGTTTTTTGCTTATTTTATTTACCTTGTTTTGTATGTTCATCTTGCACACATATGTAGACAGATTTTTACAGATGTTATTTCTTGCACAAGATTTCTCTCTGTGTTTGGATTTGTTAAACTGATTTTCATCATAACCTGAAATGTTAGAGAATACTTAGGAGAGAATCAGAACATATGTTATTGATCTATCAACTTTTATTTTCATGCAGTATCTTCACTAAGTAATGCCCATATCAAGATGAAAACCATTGATGATTATTACGATGAGGAGGATTACTCTACTAGGTAAGAAATCATTAAAACATTCCTACTTTTTTTAAAAAATACATATCGTTTATTTTGTTTTGTAAACAATGTGTTTTCATCTGACATGTACAGACAATGTAATAATCTGGAGGCTTCCTATTTTCAAGTGTATACTTTTTGTTGTCCTCCTGTTCAAATATGAATCATTTTGCTTTTCCAGATAAAATTGTTGGTCCTAAAGTACAGATATTTCATGACAATTGAAGGGATGTAATCTTTGATTCAATTTGTATTTAAACAGAGTGTAGATTCCTTCATATTTTAATTGTGATATGTTTTGAAGAATCATTCAGTTGATCTACTTTGGAAGTCTTCTATGGGATGATTTAAATGTAAACAATATGTATTGTATAGCTCTTACTGTTTTTTTCTCTTTTTTTTTCTTATGCTCGACAGTGAGAAGAAATACCTTAGTCACTTCCTACAATTACTGGCTTCCATTGAGCACAATGGACATATCTTACGCAATCAACAAGGAACGTTGGACAAAGTGGTACTCTTGGTTCAAGATGTAAGTCAACTTTGAACTTTATTAATATGGTATTAAAATATATACTTTGTAATTTACAAGAAGATGCATGTATAATATCACTCATGAGCAATGGAATTGCATCTGTTGCATTATTTCATGTTTCATATTTAATCTTTATATCAAATTATGTAGTATGTGTTACAAAATGTTATTAGATAATCCTTAACAAATAATTTTGTGGGGATTTCAAGCTCAATAATAGAGCTTTTGAACAGGGCGGTTCAACTTAGAATTGGTCGTCTATCATTAGTTCCATTTTGCATAGCAATTTGAGATAATTTTACGTTTTTGAAAGCGGTGATTAAATAGTCTAGATTGTAATTTTAAGGAATTACTTTGAGGTACAAAATGTAATATTGATTTGAAAAAAATATCTTTCAATCACAGTTTTCAGACAGATTATTGAGCGTAATAAAGGAGGCAATGAACATTTACAGTTTTCTCAATAAAACTTTATTCTAGCAATCCAATGGAAGGAAAATTGATCTTGTTTTATATCAGTACACAAGAGTAAAATTCAGCAATTAATAAAAGAATAATGGATGTTTCTCTTTTTCTTTTCAGACGGTGGATGATGCATAGATAAATTCCATCTTCTCTTCAGACAGGACTCTTGGGAGAAGACATCATAAGAGTACAGTACTTTGTCTACATTCTTATGAACTGACATGTCTGTGGCCAATTCAGGATATGTACACTACAGACCAACTGGAATCCTCCCATGGACTGAGGGTGGTTCAGAGGATGTTTGATCTGTATCATTGAATACATACCTATTCAACATTGCCCATTGAATACCTATTCAACAGTGCCCATTGAATACAGGTCTATTTAACATTGCCCATTGAATACCTATTCAACAGTGCCCATTGAAGACAGGTCTATTCAACATTGCCCATTGAATACAGGTCTATTCAACATTGCCCATTGCTCTTATTGCTACATACATGATTATGACAAATGATCTGGTGTGAAAAGGAATGATTGCATTATTTTCTGAAATTGAACCACTGACTTTCCGTGATGGAAGATTTTTCTTGAAGAAGAAAAAACGGTGAAAATTCAAATATTTTATAACTTGTTCAGAATTGTTTTCTTTTTTCAGTTCGTTTTTTTTTTTTTTTCCATTTCTCTTTTTGTTTCTTTTGTTATTTGATTTAAAAACTAAATAAAAGCTAACAACATATCTGCCATAATTCATGTGTTGTGTATTTTTGAAGAAAGAGGAATTAAACACTTTAGATAACATAGTTTTAAATTGTAACTAAATCAAAAAATGTCATCCGTATATAGCCCCAAACCCACATCATTTTGCCTGGATCTTTGGTTTTAAACCCCCCAGGTTGATGTATTGTATAACAGGACATTCAGCTTTATACAGAGCTAGAAATGCTTTAAATGTTCAACTAAATAACTATCCATAGAAGGGCACTGCAGCAGAAATACTGTATGACTCCATTTTCAAAGATAACACATTAAACAAAGTCATTGGCACTTGTAGGTTAAAAAACTAAAACGGGAAGAACAACAAAGTGGGTTTTTGCCATATAAATCGGTCATGTTTACATTTAACATTTTGTAAATGCTGTTCATCATAAAATGCTATTGAACAATATTTCAAATAAAAACTTTTGCATTATTTATTTGTATATAACATTAAAAGTGATAAATTAATGTATTCAAATCAGTGCTCTCATTCGACTCCTTATGTCATTGCTTTATTGTGTGGAAATTTGTCTACCTCAATTTTTTTTTTAAAAGGAGATCAAAGACAATCAAATGGTTAATTATAATAGGAAAATTTGTTTATTCACATAATAAAAACTTTGAAAGATATACACAAGATTCTGTTTCTACACTCTAATGATGCCTTTACACATTAGTACTGTAATACTAATTTAGAATGCAGTACATGGACTATACACACATGTCAGATAACAGCTGTAGACTAATCATGAGCTGGTAGAGATTCAAGGAGTACTGAAAAGTTAATACACCATGGGGAATTGTGAATTAAAAACGCTAATTACACGAGAGAGATGTTAGATAGGGGCAGCTAGAGAAGACGGAGAAATAGAGCTGAGATGGGCAGCTAGGAAAGAGAGAGAGAGAGAGGAGAAAGAGTGAGAATGGGGCAGCTAGGAAAGACAGATGGAAAGAGAAAGATTAAAGAGGTGCAGCTAGGGAAGACACAGAGAGATCAGAGAGGAGGTAGCTAGGAAAGACAGAGAGAGAGAGAGAGAGAGAAATTAGAGAGGGGCAGCTATTAAGACAGACAGAGAGATATCAAGTAAGATCAAGTAACTAGAAAGAGATAACATGGTATTGAATACGAGAAAGATGTTTTTACAATCAACTTCAAAAATGATTATTCAGCTTTTAACAAATGTTGATCCTTTATAGAAATTGGTGTAACTTGATGAGTGAATGATTGGTATTTTATGAGAGCTCATGAATGTACAACGCGATCAAAGAAAGGTTACACTCCTTTTCAGAGCTGAGGATTATAGGAGAGAGATGGGGGAGAAATAACAACATTGATGTCCTAGGCATTTTCTGAACTCTGAAAAAGGCAATTTTAGTCATCACTGTTGTCTCCTTGTTCATGGTCTTCCTCTGGCTCTGCTTTTTCCCCATAATTATCTAAAACGATAAATAAAAATATACAAATGAAACTTTAAGAAGACTAAATGTTAAACAATCATTGTTCAAGATTTCTGAAGAGTATACAATGTTAGAAATCTTCTACTTCCAAAAATGAAAATGCATGTATGTTATACTTATTTTCACTTTCACTTGCCAATGATGTGGGCTAACATTACTTTATTAAGACAAGACACTGATATGGCTGAATATTGAAGATAGGTCGTATATGTATTCAATGGAATATGATACAAAAGGTATATTAATATCAGAAGTATATGTTGCAAGATTAATGAGAGATACTTACGATGTAAATCTTGTGCAAGATCATGTATGTGACCACGTCTGTAATAGAAGTATGTAGCTATAAGGATTGATCCAGTCAGCCCAGCAAATGTTCCTAATGAGATTCGTAGGAGTGGTGTCTCTCTTACTTCAACCAGGCTTTCATCAGATACGATCACAGCTACCCGAGCTTCCAAGCTACAGTAACTGTAGAACATATCAAGTAAAGCAAAGGGTATTTAACTGCAGTGTGATCTGTAAATGTGCAGTTGTCTATGTCACTTCTACTGGTCTCTCATTCGACTTAGTCACAGCTACTTTCGCTTCGTAACTACAGAAACTTTAGCGCAATTCAAGTGAAGCAAAATAATGTTAACATCATAGTTAGATAATTTACACTAGTACTTATACGCTTCTTGCACCAAATAATGTATTTAAATGCCAAATCACCTTGTTAGGACGTCTTTTTTACTTATGTAGTCACAATGAAAGTCTCTTTCAGACATGATGCGGCAAAGTTTTCAAGATGTAACTCTTCACATTTCTGTATTTTGTATACACACACCTCAGCGAATACGCGCAAGCAGGGGCGTCGCCAAAGGGGGTGTGGGGGGGTGCGACACCCCCACCTGTCAGGATATTGTCGGTATAATTGCGCTGCTGTCGGGAAAAAGAGAAAAGGGGGAGGAAAAAAAGAGAGGGAAAAAAAGAGAGGGAAAAAAAGAGAGGGAAAAAAAGAGAGGGAAAAAAAGAGGGAAAAAAGAGAGGGAAAGGGAAAGAAAAGAAAAAAGAAAAGGAAAAGAAAGAAAGAAAGGAAAAGAAAGGAAAAGAAAGGAAAAGAAAGGAAAGAAAAGAGAAGAAAGAAAGAGAAAAAAGAAAAAGAGGGAGGAGAGGAAAGAAAGGAAAAGAAAGAAAAGAAAGAAAAGGAAAAGAGAAGAAAAAAGAGTGAAAGGGAAACAAAAGAAACGGGGATGAAAGAGAGGAGAGAGAGGGGAGGTAAGAGTCTGAGAGAAGAGGAGTGGGAGTAAAAGAGAGAAAGGGTTGTTGGGTGGAGTCGTCTCGTCGAGGGAGCAAGAAAGACACAGGTAAATATGTTGCTGTGTCGGGTCAGCTGTGTCGGTATTCTTGCTCGATCCTCGTGTACTATATCAATGCAGAAGTTTGAAGTCGGTGAGATGTATATTGTCGGTCGGCCGACAAGTTTTTTCTCCCTACGAACTGTGGCTTCTTATCCGCTGTGACGACTTTGAGAGTGACTACAACTACAATACTTGTCTTCACTTTCCTATCGCTAAAGAAATCAGAGGTTTAAAATTTTCGGGGAAACTAAATTCAAACAAGGTTTAAGAGTCAACAACGGTACGACGAATCGTCTTCCTTTCTTTATATTGCGATGAAACGCCAAAAATTCCGCGCTTTGCGCGGAAGGGGAAGCTTCACTTAGACGAGTCGAGAACGGTACAGCGAATCGTCTTCTTTCTCTAATAATTTAAGGAAACGTTGAGGCTTCCGCGCTTCGCGCGAGAGTGGGAAACTGAATTCATTTGAATAGGGCTTATTTAAAGTCGAAAACGGTACAAGGAATCGTGTTCTTTCTCTAATAACTTTTGGAAACGTCATAGCTTTCGCGCTTCGCGCGAGAGGGGGAAACTGAATTCAGATGAATAGGGCTTAATAAGATTCGAAAACGGTACGAGGAATCGTCTTCCTTTCTCTATATTGTGATGAAACACCAAAAATTCAGCGCTTCGCGCGAAAGGGGAATACTTCATTTAGACGAGTCGAGAACGGTACGACGAATCGTCTTCTTTCTCTAATAATTTGAGGAAACGTCAAAGCTTTCGCGCTTCGCTCGAGAGGGGGAAACTAAATTCAGATGAATAGGGCTTAATAAGATTCGAAAACGGTACGAGGAATCGTCTTCCTGTGATGAAACGCCAAAAATTCAGCGCTACGCGCGGAAGGGGAAAACTTCATTTAGACGAGTCGAGAACGGTACGACGAATCGTCTTCTTTCTCTAATAATTTAAGGAAAAGTCGAAGCTTCCGCGCTTCGCGCGAGTGGGGGAAACTGAATTCAGATGAATAGGGCTTAATAAGAGTCGAAAACGGTACGATGAATCGTCTTCCTTTCTCTATATTGAAACCGTCTGCTTTTTCTCATAATTTAATGAAACGTCAAAGCTTCCGCTTTGCGCGTGAGGGGGGGGGGGGGGGGGGGACTGAATTCAGAAAAGGATAAACAGTCGAGAACGGTACAGCAAATTGTCTTCTTTTTTATAATAATTTAATAAAACGTCAAAGCTTTCACGCTTCGCGCGGGAAGGGGGGGGGGGGGGACTTCATTCAGCCAAGGATTGCCAGTCGAAAACGGTACAATTAATCGTCTTCTTTTCCTAATAATTTAAGGAAACGTCTTAGCTAATGAGCGCGCTTTTAAGTGATTCTCTTGCTCACTACCGCCCCTCCCTAAAATAAGATCCTAGGTCCGCGCCTGCATTAAAATATATAGCTATGACGCCGACTAAATTGAAGAAATAATTCGTATATTTATGTCGTCGAGGAAAATGACCATTTTGCGCATATATGCAAGTACTATAGATAGTCCATAGACCCCAGGTTTATAGGGTTGAATTTGTAAATATTGGACATTTAATTTGTCGGTAATCGTTGGCCTCTTCACCCCCCCACCCCCCCCCCCCCACCCCCCCCCCCCCCCCCCCCCCCACTGAAAAAGGTCTAGCGACGCCCCTGCGCGCAAGTCCTTTTATTTATAGTTTGTAGTTGTCATTCATCTAGTTCAGACTTCTAGTAGAAGTGACGAGCAGACCAAGGCGGAATTTTTTGCGGCAGTTAACCACTCCATAATTATCTCGACAAGCCTTAGAACAACTTTGCATGCAAGTTATGCAATTTGATATAATCACAGCTATATATTCTCCGATAGATTACATAAACAGGAACGCATAAAGTGATTTTTAAATTTTGTTATCAAGCTTTAACAAATAAAAGCAAAAACGTTATCATAGCAATAAAAGAATAGATAATCATCGACGTGATCGCAATAGATTTAATAGTGATTAAACATATATAAAAGTAGGTGTTCGATGTTTGATATATAAGATGATAAGGCGCAAACACAATAACCCGTCTTTAAAAGTAAAATCTATATGGTCGTGTTCGCGACTATAAAGCGGAAAAGCCGTCATGAATTTCTGGAAAGGATTCACAGGCTCGGAATAACATTTAAAAAGTCTAGATTAAATGTATTTTGTTATCGCGTTAGTAAATTCGATAAGTCTGAGTCAGTTAATTGAACAAGGATTTATGAACATTACCTGTAATAAGGGTCTACTACATGTAGTGAAAAGAGATAAAGCTGATCATCACCAGTAGCGAGCCATCTAACACTGTTATCACCAGACTGGTTCAAGATCTGATAAGAGTCATGGAGCAACCGTGTCTCTGTTACCTCGTATAGGAAGCAACTCTTATAATTCTGCAAGAGAGAGGGATCAGAAGGAATCGATCGGGAGGGGATCAGAAGATATTCAATATATGCTTTTTAAAAGTGGGCGTAACTACGGATGCAGTAACTTGAGTCTGGTGTATTTTTTTTCCTTTTACTAAATTTACTGGCTTCAATCCTATTTTGTTTCCAGGTGCAATACATGCATTTTGGTTCTATGTGGACGCTTGGTTGAAGTTACTCTACCTGTCTTCAAAGTATAGGGATGAATATGGTTAAATGTATTTGAGCGTCCTAATTCTGAGTCTATGAAAACCACCGTTCATTGCATATCTGAGAAAGCGACAAACAGATTTTACAAACAATTTATATTTTCCATGCCATATATAAAGCCCAATTATTTATGTACTTACATGAGGGCCCCATATATCTTTAACTGGAAGATCATCACTGACGCCTTCTTTCATCTTCTCCCATGTCTGTGCCAATCGCAGACACCCAGCCTGTTTGCAAAAGATTACATTGACTGGTCATGAGTTACCCCTTTCACAGACATAGGAATATTATCAATTTTTGTCTATCTATCTACCTATCTATTTGTATCTATCTATATCTACCTGTATACCTATCTATCTATCTTGATTAATTGCTTTATTTAATTGACGGGGGGAATATGAATGGGTCTTCATTAAACTGATGAATATAATGCAGTCTTGAATTGTTCATACGTTGGTTTGTTCTCTTGCAGCACGATGACATAAACATGATCGAATGATATTACGTGTACATTGACTGATTTATCTTTTCGAGCAATAAAGTCATGTGAACTTTCTTCTACTAATCATGAAAAACTAGACGACCACGGTACATAAAATGGTTACCGATTGCATGGATGCTGTATAGGTAAAGTCATGTCTTCCATTGTCTTCCCACATCACAAAACCAGCTGTCATTGATTCTACAAACACGTCTTCATCATATCTGTAAACGAGTAAATAAAGCATCTACAATTCATAATTTTGCTATAGAATAGAATAGACCAATACAACATTACCATATCTAACTTAATTTACTTGAAATTTAATTTATTTTTAAAGGAAGAATATCAACTCTACATTTTTTCCAACATTTTTCCTTGTAATTTTAGATAAAGATATTGCTTGAGTAGAGAATTCGACTAACACATTCAACACATTTGGCAAATAATAATAATAATACTATTTAATTTTTATATATAGCGCTTAATACAAATGTCTCTAAGCGCAAGTGTTTAGCTGGGTATCTCACTAGTTGTACTCCTCTGACAACACTATATAAGGGAGAATTACCGGAGTGTTGGCTCAGTCAGTAGAGCGTCCGCCTCACAACCGGGAGGTCGTGGGTTCGAACCCCGGCCGCGTCATACCAAAAGAAGACGTTAAAAGATGGGAGTTGTTGCTACCTTGTTTGGCGTTCAACAATAAGGGATAGAGCAACGTCGATCTGCCGGGCTCACGATCAATTGGGTAAAAAGAATTTCCGTTTCGGTTTAATAAAATTTGGAGTGGACTATTAGGCTATTATTATTATTTTTATTATAACAAGGAAATTGCAAACTTTGGAGATATTATTTTCCTTGCTAATTAATCAAATACGAGTAATTCTTTTTAATAAAAAAAAGAGAAACAATCAAATGGATGCTTTCAATTCGAAGATAAAGTAAACAATACCATATATAAGGACTTTCATCAGTGTGCTACCGATCGTCTATGTTAAGCTTTGAAGCAACCGAACACATCAAAGTCAACTCGAAGAATATAAAACTAGATGGAATTTTGACTGCGCGCAGTCGAAAATGATGCCTCTGCCATAGAGCAATTTAAAAAATTCAAGTTTGATTGTAATCCATTTGTCGGTTTTAGTGATAATGCACTCACAAGCTATTTATAGGCATACATCATGAGCCCTGTGACCTTTGACCCCAAAATCTAATCAGTTCATTGGCTCTGTTAATTACATACATGACGAAAGTTTGGCAGGAATCCATTGATTGGTTCTTGAGATAATGCGATCACAGCTATTTTTGCATACATAATGAGCCCTGTGACCTTTGACCTTCAACCTTGTGACCCCAAAATCCAATCAGCTCATTGGCTCTGTAAGATATACATGACCTGAGTTTGGCAGAAATCTATCAACCGGTTCTTGAGATAATGTGATCACAAGCTATTTTTGCATATATAATGAGCCCTGTGACCTTTGACCTTCAACCTTGTGACCCCAAAATCCAATCAGTTCATTGGCTCTGTACGATACATACATGATCCAAGTTTGGAGGGAATCCATCAATTGGTTCTTGAGATAACGCAATCACAAGCTATTTTTGCATATATAATGAGCCCTGTGACCTTTGACCTTCAACCTTGTGACCCCAAAATCTAATCAGTTCATTGGCTCTGTTAGATACATACATGACCCAAGTTTGGCAGGAATCCATCGATCGGTACTTGAGATGTGATCACGAGCTATTTTTGCATACATAATGAGCCCTGTGACCTTTGACCTTCAACCTTGTGACCCCAAAATCTAATCAGCTCATTGGCTCTGTAAGATACATACATGACCAAAGTTTGGAGGGAATCCATCAATTGGTTCTTGAGATAACGCGATCACGAGAACGGGACGTACGTACGGACGGACAACCAGAAAACATAATGCCTCCGGCTACTTTGTAGCGGAGGCATAAAAAACTTTGTGCCAAAGTTGCTTTGTGCAAAAATTAATGATAATGAAGAACAAATAATATCTAAAAACTTACAAATCAATTTCTGGTTTGAATACATCCTTAACTGTCAGAATTATAGGGCATCCATACAACTGTTTGTCATATTCCACAACCTGGAGAAAAAAATAATCACATTTTAACAATGATTCGTCTCCCCTACATAAAGAGGTTCTTTGAATATAGTATAGTATAGTATAGTAGCTCTATACAGAGCGAATTTATTTTTCATTTCTGTTAACATAATATAAACAATAACGGACAATAATAAACGTAATGATATAACAGAAGTGAGCATTGAAATATCTTTTACATTGTTTTTTTAAGACATTGTAATGCAAAATGATTTAATTACAGAACAAACTTGATAAATGAGGCAAAGGATGTTATGACATGAAGTTCTAACCATTTCAGACAAGTTTTGTCCCTCTTTCTTTGCAAGTCGGTATGATGTTTGAATGTGTAATTTAGGTCCGTTCTTTATTTAACACCTTCATATAAGCAGGGATAACAAATATATATGGACATATCCAATTACAATAAGAAATAGAAAATCTTCACTGGGTTTCCATCTCCTAACAGGAATATAGTCCCGACATGAACTAGGAATATGGCTGAAGTAGAAATACATTACAATATAAGAAATGCTAGTATCTTAAACCATCTCGCCATCTTGGCAAGATAACAGAGAATATTCCTTATACATTCATGCAATGAATGTGTACAAAGGCATGTATAAGAAAAAGGCTTTTATCTATCTCACCCTTCTTCATGCATAGATCAAAAGTACTGATTGAAAGTAATGTTCTATAAAAGTGAGAGTTAAAAATCATCTTATAGCAACCAATGTTACGATGTCTTCCAGTTATTAATTCGTTTATGTTTTCTCCATACCTCTCCATTCTCTTAGATGATAAGCAAACCCTTTCCAATAGTAATACTCTTACCATCTCAGTTGCAGGTGGTTCATCATTCTCTTGGACGTAGGATCTCCTAATAGAGAGCGTTGGATAAAAAATATGCAGATATCGAACAGAGCGATGGTGAATGCTCAATACTAAAAAATACAGCCTGGATAAATTAAATGCGCATATGGTTGGATCAAAATTTTAACTTTCCAAAAAAATTCGAAATTTGATAAATCTTCAGTAGTAAAACAATTAAGAAAAACGAATAGCACTGAACTAACCTGTTGATGATATATGAGCCATAATCTTGGCATTCGGTTGGTTTATGTACTCTGATGTGTCTATGAGGCGGGCAGCCTATCTCAAGCTCAGATACCTAGATAAATAATCATATAACATGTTGTTCTGACAAGCAGTAAGGTACCATCGATTACAAAGAAAGAAAATGTTCAATGTTTATGATTAATAATAATAATACTTGATATTTATATAGCGCCATTATCCAGTTTAATTAAATGCTCAAGGCGCTTCAAAATATTAGGGAACACATTACATCATGACAAAGAATCGTGTACATTTACATAAGAAAGAAAATGCAAAAATGAAAGAATGAATGAATGTCTGTCTTCAAAACGCGAAATTGAACAAATGGGATTTAAGGTTGCTCTTAAAAGACGTTGAAGAGTCGGAGTTCTTCATTGACTATGTTCTTAAATTTATTGCTTTACTATGTATTATCATAATTCCTATTTACACGCAAGAGTCTTGTGAGAAGACAGGCCCTCGCATGCTCCGTGATATGTCATTACCGTTTAATGATTGAAACAACATCAGAATAGGTTGTGGTAATATAATTTCGAAGTTTAATACCAAGAAATTCACGTCTACGGAATAGCAGAACTAAATCATGTTTTTGGGTGTACGTTTCCGTTTATTTATCACCTTTTCTTCACAGAACTACTCACTGACGATATCGAGTCACTCTTGACTGAGTAACAGGGAAAACATTAATAATCAACTTCACGGACTAGATGACCAAACAATTATCAATGATTTAAACCAATTACCATTTTGGAAGGAGAGTGGCATCCTATACCCAATCTTCTTGGTCTCATCTCTATGGTAACCAGTCCTGTAGCTAAAGCCAAGGCTTCTTCATATCTTCTGCCCTCTTCAAACAAGAAATTACTTCGCACTCTAAAAATCTTAAATAGTTTGAAACACAAAATATTACCAGACATGAGCATACGTATATTGTATATCGTTTAGCAACAGCTGGTCCAGTAAGGAATGAACATTGTTTAAGACTAAGTTTCAAACAAGTCTCAAAGGCTAAGAATGTAATAATTCCTTAGTATATTGTAAACATCATTAAACGAGAGAGATGTACAACATAAACGTACTTCATTATAGGGGTGATGAAATATCGACGAACCAAATTACCCATGTATATATTCAATCAGACAAAGTCATATTTTTGACATCGTAAAATAGTTTGTCGACTTTTTTTTAAAGTGCTCTTGCATAAACCCAGAATAAGTGTCATGCCTTAAAAACTACAAAATAAAGAATATTGAAAAAGTGAAAAGGTCACTATTCAATATAAAGTGCAATTGAAAATACATACACTGTCGCTCATAAAGGTGGAATATTTTTTTTTAACCCAATTTATGGAATTATTTTAAAAATGATTTAAAAATAATAGATCTAGATAATAGTATACATTCTCAGATTTTACTGAACAATAATTTGCGAATGTGTGCTTTGCGTGACTGCTAAAGCATATGTATGCTACTATGCTTATCAACTAGGGGACTTATGCCCTTAAGTCATAAATGACAGTAATGAGGATTAATGCCCCACAAAAGGGCACTAATATAGCACATCGACACGGTTTTGATCCTGGGGCCTCACAGTTACGAGGCCATTGCTTTGTCACTGAACCATGACTGTACGCAGCGGGGGCTAGGGTAGGGGGCAGTTTCCATAAATTTAAAAAAACACAGAAAATGCAATAAATTTTCAATAATTTATTGTTCCAGTTCCGGTTCCCAACATGAAAAAATCTTCTGTGTGCCCATGCCTTGAGCCATAATGCATGGCAGTCCAGAGGATTTTTTTTTATGTTGGGGACCGGGGTAAAATGCAATAAATTATTGCAAATTTTTTGCATTTTCTGTTTTTTTTTTAATTTATGGAAACTGCCCCCTACCCTAGCCCCCGCTGCGAACAGTCATGGTTCAGTGACAGAGCAATGGCCTCGTAACTGTGAGGCCCCAGGATCAATACCGTGTCGATGTGCTATATTAGTGCCCTTTTGTGGGGCATTAATCCTCATTACTGTCATTTATGACTTGAGGGCGTAAGTCCCCTAGTTAATAAGCATAGTAGCATACACATGCTTTAGCAGTCCCGCAAAACACACATTAGCAAATTATTATTGAATAAAATCTGAGAATGTATACTATTATCTAGATCTATTATTTTTAAATAATTTTTTAATAATTCCATAAATTGGGGTAAAACTAAAATATTCCACCTTGACAGTGTATTTATTCAGTTGACAAACAATAATAAAACATCGTTATATCATGATGTACTCGTGTAAGTTTGATATCTCTTGCCTATTAATTAATTAATTATTCATGTTTATTGCACATATTCTACTTCTATTCTGCTACTTGACAATCACCCAGGTAGATATCAATAAAATCTGAAAATGTATACTATTATCTAGATCTATTATTTTTAAATAATTTTTAAAATAATTCCATAAATTGGGGTAATCCCTAAAATATTCCACCTTTATGAGCGACAGTGTATATGCACATTTTGTGTAAATAATTATTTTACCTTCTTGATCAATTTACTCCCTGGATTGAAATCAGTCATCACTTGCTCTTCAACGATAAGTTTGTCAGGTCGATTGATCACCGTCTAATCAGAAAAAAGACATAATACACTAGTACAGTTTTAGGAAGCCCATCAAAACTTTCATGTCAGTTTAATTTGATTATAATACTGAGCTAAACTATGTTTTATTTTTCAAAAAACTCTGATATAACTTACTATAAAAAGGAAGAACTCATAAGAGACATTTGAATTCGACAATGTGACCTTTAATTGACAATCATATGCATCTGATTCTAATATTTTGTAAACACTAGGGAACCTTGACATTACACAAAAAAATCATACAAGCATAATGCTGATTACGTTGCTTTTTAAACGGAATGATTTATGTTCACTTGATGCAAAGCTTCAAAGTATTGTACTAAAGTAGTGACTTGGTGACTTGTAAAGTACTAACCTCGATATCATTGTATCTGTCAGCTGAATATACAAGTTGTGCCCAGATGATTGCCGAATCTCTCAGATCCACATAATAAACCTCATACTGTGGGCCCTCTTTAAACTGGAAATACTAACATGGAAAAGGAGGTACTGCAATCAATGAGTCAGTAGATAGATATTACTCTCATTTAAATCAAATCTTTTTCCCAGAAAAACAAAGGAAAAGAAAGAGAAAAAACATAAACGTAAAATCAGCGTTGAATTACCCGCCGCCGCGGCCTTAACTGAGTGACCAATGAGCGTTCAAGGAATTCCTGCTACTTGATGTTTTCTTTCCTGTGTGGACGATGATGTAGAGGATTTAGTGACAAGTGCAGATGAATGTATTGCTAAATGGCATGCGGTCCATATCTCCGTGGCTCATCAACTATAACGCGGTGCAAGTTAATTTTGATTTATTTCTGCATTTTTCCAAATATCATAACTGAATAACAAAGAACATATAAACGTAAGTTATATTACAAAATATACAAACGAAGAAACGATATAACTTCATGTCAAATTTTATGTACATATATACATACTATAACGAAACGTAATATTTCTAAAACATATTATTATAAATTTAAAGTATTATTCTAACTATCAGTGGAACAGTGCAGGAGACCGCAATCATAAGCGATGCTTGACTAGGATGGTGACCTAAAGTTTACACCAGATGAAACACTGAGGAATGAACAAATTTACGTGCAAAACAGAGAGTATACATGATTATCAACATGATTAATAATAAACACAAGCTTCACCTGATCCACAAAGAATATCACTTTTCTGAATGGGTAGATAAAGTTGAAGGCAGAACTAAATGGATTTGATTTTCATTTCATAAATGAATTGAAAAGTTATGGAATGACTCATACTAACCATACATTCAGTATGCTCCAGCTGGTTTACAATGCTTCCCATGTCAGCTTTCAACGAATAGCTTGTCCTTTCTGCCTCATTTCTGTAAAAGTAGATTGGAAACAAATATAAAAAATAAAAACCGTAACCAACAAAAACCGCTAGTAATTCCCGGGTAATACATGGAATTCTTGATAAATGAGAAGGGTAGTTAGGATGTTTTGACTGATATTAAAAATAAAATATGAAGAAGCTTACCCATCGAGTTGCAAAATATAAATCTGATCAACGAAGTTGGTATAAATAGCCAGATCATTGTCAGGCACTGCTAGCGAAGAGTGCTGTAATAAAGGAAAAAACAGAGGACTGTTGGTACCAACTTATTTCAAACATTAAATGGATGAGAAGGCTTCAAAATGATATAACTGCGATTCTTATTACATTGGAATGAAGAAGATAGTTAATTCAAAAGCGCATCTAATATAAATCGTATTTGTTTGAGAGAAACCGGTTTACTTGTTAAGAATCCAGCGCTTTTAGTATATACTCTTTATAAGACTTTATAAATACCGTTGTTATCATCAAAATTAATCACTGTATACAAAACTTACTTTAATGAGAACTTTCTGGTGATATTGTGATGTGTAGAGTACATTGTGAGATGACAGAACGATGATACATCCATCCATAGTAACGGTTAACTGCTTGATAAACGGTTCTATTTCCACCTCATTATCCAATGTGTTATGAATCGTCATTGTATCATGGTCTTCACCTGGAATAACACACTTCAGTATTGATTGTCCAGATACATTGTGGAGGAAACACAAAATCCGTAAAGAGCATTCAATAACACATATTCCTCATTTTTCTTTGTGGTCCCGCTTACTATCAATCACCCTCCCTCTTCCCCGTGCCTCTCTCCCGGCTCTCTCTCTCTCCGACCGTCTCTCCTCCTCCTCCTTCTCTCACCCCTCCGGTCTGTCCTACTCTCTTCTCTCGTTTTCTCCCAGGCGCTCTTCTTTCCCTCGATCCTCTCTCTTCTTTCTCTCCTTCCATCCCATCTCTACCTCCTCTTTCTCACTTGTTTTGCTCTCTTCCCCTCCCTTTTTCAATTTTCCTTTCTTCCCCCTTTTAACCCCCCCCCTCTCCCTTCTCTCTCTCTCTCTCTCTCTCCCTCTCTCTCTCCCTTTCTCTATCTCCCCCCCCCCCCTCTCTCTGTGCATACCTATTCATGTGTTCATAAAAGTTCATGATGTGAATAGGATTGTACCTTTGGCATAGTTATAGTACACACTATTCTGTTCCCAGAGTAACGTGCTTCCCTCTGTGTCATGTAACTGTATGAGGGAAATAGCTGTGAAATATACGAAAAACCAATTATCAGTACTGCAGTGTGAATATCTAAACAAAAAACACTAGTTATTAACATGATCATCAAAATCATATTTATCAAACCTGTGTTTATTTTATTTCTATATTTAGCGTACATAACTTTTAATGAAAAAGCGAGTGAATAGAAGGCAAATATTAGTCTTATATATTCAGATTGCCATTGACAAGAAGGTGACCTATTTCGTGTGTCCTTGATGTGCCAATCAATAAACCTGATATTCTCTTAACTTACTTCAAGCATTTAAAGCAACACTATTTACATACCGAATGTATATGTATAACATATGTATATGTTACTTACATTATAATCTATATATCAGATCTAATTAAATCTAACATAATTTTGTTACTAGGCTTAACGAATTTTGTTTTCTTTCTTTTTTTAAACTTTGTAAATAGTGTAAACTACAAAACTTTAGGAATTTTATTTGTCATATATTATATATTTGAAAGGTGTTGTAACGATTAAAGCTCTATTTGCTTATGTTTCATCACCTTTGTGTGTTCATTCTTCAAACTGTATATTAGTTGCAACTTCACTTGTCTTTGATAAAACAATGTTATATTCTTTTTCACGTGAAGTTAATTCAAATGGATTGTAAAATTGAAAATTATTTGTTATATTATATTAATTTTTCATGTGATGTTAACTTCAATGAATTGTGAAATTGTGAACATGCATAAATAAATAGATATCAAAATAGAAATAGTAATGAAATACATTGTTCTCATATAGCACATATATTACACTTTGATTTAACGTCCCAGTGCAATACCAAAGAGCTTTTATTATTGCAACCCAACCTTTCGGTCTGAAACCGTTACCAGAGCGGCAATTGTAGATTAAGACCTGGGCCCGAACACAAAACATTCAAATAGCACGATAGATGTTCATTAAACTACTCGATTATAAACTCACTTGCAGACAAGGCCCAATCGATTTATAATGACTTACATGTATTTGCTCCCTTCTTACTAAAGAATGGTAATGGTTTTCCCCATGAATCAGACGTCCAATCTTTATTGACGATAACGGAGACAGACTGCCTTTCCGATGCGAGTGTCATCAAAACATTCATTTCATTTGGTTCGTCAGTGAATGTTACATATTCAACTAACACCTGAACAAATACAAAAGAATAACACGTACAAGCTATTTAGTCGTTCATTTGTATTCTAAGTCTATTCTGGGTTTCGCCATATTTTACACATATCTACCACCTCAATGTCGATCGACATCTTAATGTATTTATCCGTTCGGTGCTAAGAAGAAGTAAAAACACAATAAAGTCGACTTTGAAATAATATATGCTTTCTCCGTTGAATGTTATTTACTGTCATTATTCTCTCGTTATGCTATACATGTAGGTCGGTTTTCATCACTATTTCTAGTATTTATGCCCATCTGAATTTCTTTAGTTCCAAATGACCAATGCTGTCGGCTGATCTTTGCACAGAATCTGCACCAACTTATCTGCCAAATCTACACCCCAAACTTATATGTACTCTACCGATTGTTAAGATGAATGACTTGCCTCCATGATATCCTCGCTAAGCCAGAATGGATACTGTAAAGATGACACTTCTTCCTTGCTCACTTGAATGCTTTGTAGTAACTCAGCTTCATACCAGATATATATATATTCATTGTCCCAACCGAGAAACATGGCGTTTTCAATCTGGTGATGAGAAGATATTAATTTTAGCTTGTACTCAAGACAATCTCTAACAAAATCCATAGTATTACATTTTTTTCTTGAAGTTTACAAATACATTAAAAACATATCTATGAAAAAATGTATCGTACCGTATTTCATATTATTTGGTTATTTAATTGCATAGATTCTTTACTCATCCCTGATGTTTTATTATAACATTTATCACTTTGTGTTGTATATTCATAGAATCAATTGACGAAAGTCGAATGTGATCATAAAGTAATATTTATTTTTAAAAAAGAAGTTCTCATGTAGTCAAACAAAACCAATGCCCGATTTATTAAATTAGAAGTGACTTTTAAGATTTAAAAGATCTCTGTATAAAGTGTAATCTAGGTATACAAAGATGGAACCAGTGGATTCACAGTTTGAATTCAAACAATAACAAGGCCATGGATTACCTTACGCATTTGTGAATGATGACATGCTGGTCTACCCTCGATTGCATTCACTTGAAATTCTACAACATCAACAAAGATGAACACATGTGTTAATACATTTTTTGCTTGTATATATTTATATATAGCTCATATAACATCACCATACATGTTAAACTTATGTACGGTACACGCATCAAAAGAGCTATCAAAATAATTTTCCCCGACAGTAACCAACCCTTTCTTTTTAACAGTTGATTGCAAAAAAAAAGAATACAAAAACAAAAACAACAAAAAAAAACAAAACAAAACAAAAACAAAACACTTACTATCATCTTACATATCGTGTTTATACATAGAAACAATGGTATAGTTTGCTGGCGCTCATCACGATATTTGTGACAGCAGATAGGAATCCAGGGCAGATTTGGCACTGTCATGAATTTCGGCGGTCATCATTTTGTCAGAAACACCAAATTTACAGGTGAGATGTTTGTTTTCTCGTTGATTATTGATCACCCGTCATCTACTATAACATCAGCGACAGTAAGAGAACTGTTGCTGAGCTAGCGCCATGAGCTTCCATGGACGGTGTGTGCGCTTTATAAGTCTACACTATTATTAATATTAGTAGTAGTATATCACAATAAAATTAATACAGATAGTACATTATCGGATAAATAAGTGTTAAGTTCGATATTTTGATGATCATAGAATGCAAAGGTGATGAAAAGAGAAAACATTCAAGTTGAGTCTGGCCCCATCTTTAGTGATGGTGAACATTCTCTTTCGTCAAGAGAACACAACGAGAATGGTGGTACCAAGAATTAGCCAGGAAGACAATATCTGCCGTCACATTGGTACTCAAATCAAACTCAAGCGATACAAGATGAAATACACCTGTCAACCGCATGAATGTTCCAGAGGATCTGTCCTGTATGAGTAAATACCCTTCTTCAAGTTGGTAGATTATAGAGTCAGAGGTTATAGCAATGTCTCTCACATTTACCGATGCGCCCTGAAAAAACAGCATAACACAATAATCGCGTTTACTCTTCCAAGAATGTCCCAGTGAATAGTACAACTTTTTTAGCTCTAGATTCCAACTTGTATTTATGATCATGCACGATAGAGATTGAAGGCGTTACAAGAATTCCCTCAACTGTTACTTGTACCCCTATGCATTGCATGAAGACGGGGAAAACATTTTTGTTCTTTCTGTTTCGTTAATATGGGCGGGAACGTTCGCTTTTTAAAATGTTTGAAATTTCGAAGTTTCTTCATTTCAAAACACAACATCTCGTATGCCATGTTCATTATACCGCAAACGAGACGGTCCATTTGCCGAGCAATTGAAGGGTCATTATTCAGAAGGTTGTTATATCGATGGTTAGTTTTTTTTTCAGAATTAGGTTCATCAATACGAAAACGTAGGATATAAGCCTACTTCGGTTCAATATTGCGACATGTCCAAATATCACAAAAATAAATAGTCTAGTAATTCCGAAAATGAAAAAAAAAAAGTGATTATAATTCGGAAAGTTACATTAGCATATATCTTTTCAATTTTCGTATTTACGTTGGGGAGGGTGTTTGATTTCAATCCACAAAGCATATAATTATTGTATGAAAGAAAACTTTCGGCAAACTTGCAGGGCTTACTTACCATTAAGAGTTCAGGTGACACCATGATATGATCAGTGGACTTAAAACCATCGGTAGTAAACACACACTGTCCGCTAAAGAGAAAAGAAATACTTGTTATCAGTAATGTGCAACCCTTGAACTCTGTATTCGTTGCGAAAATAATCATAAAACGTACCCATCAATATTAAATTGATTAAGTAAAAAATACAGCTCTATTAGTATTCAATCGAAAGCAAACAAAGTGTAGATTAAATAGAAAGATATTTGATTTACCTCATTATAAGGAAGGCTGTATCCTGGTTACAAGGGTCTTTGATTACTATGGAAACTCCAAGTTGACCTTTCAAAGTCAATGACCCCTCAGATTGCAGTATTTCATCGATGCACATTGAAGATATCACTGCCTTGGTATCTCTTGAAATGAATGTAATGCATATGTTGTTGTCATGGTCATTTTGTTATTCATGATTAATTTTTCCATTTCAAGATTCAAGATTCAAGATTCAAGATAATTTATTGTCTGATTTAAAAAAATACAGAAATTCGTCCTCCACTGGCGAGTGACGTACATATACAAACAACATAAACAATATATAAATACATTCGAGGATACAAAGAAAATACAATAATAATAATAATAATAATAACAATAATAATAGCAATAATAGCATTAACAAAGCTGACATGTAAACTTGAAAACTGGCATTTAAAAATGAATCTTGATAATGCACAGAATGCATTGAATAAATGAATTTAAAAGTGCTTTGAAACATTCACCCCTTCTCTCCCAGAAAAGGGGTATGAGGAGAGAGAGAAAAGAACAAATGAGAGAGAGAGAGAGAGAGAGAGGAGTCGAATGGAGTAGAACAGAAAGGAAATGTGAGGGAGAGAGAGAGAAGGAGGGAGAAAAGAGAAGGTGACAGAAAACGAGGAGCTCTGGGAGGGAAGAGATGAGGTAGAGGTAGAGTACAGGATATCAAGAACAGTGACTGCCCGTGGTTAAAAAGACAAATGAGTCGTCAACATTCAAAAATTCGAAAATTCAGAGCTGCAAGCTAGAGATAGACCCTGTGCAGTAGAAAGTTAGAATAAAAAAGTGTTCAATAAGGAACCTAGCCTTAGCCATTTCACATTTACATATACATATACAAGTGTCATGGGACAGCGGCCATAACATACTAAAAACATGTGAGAGGGCATGCATGAAGTCTGGTACATGTATGCAAAGAGATGCAGTGTAGAAGAGAGGGGAGAAATAAGAAAAAGTGGTAGATAAGGGAGAAATGCACACCTAAAACAAAGCTTCAAGTGAAAGGAGGGAAGAGGGAGGGAGAAAGAACATAGCAGCTGACACTCATGCACGCACTCGAGATACGTTGTTCATTCATTAAAAGTTTAGAAGATTACTGTTTCGCATCATTATGGACAGAGTGAAAGGCATTTTAACACTATCATAAAAGACAGTTCTTCTCAAATATACATATTTGTTGAGTTGAAAGACATTTACTGTTATAGGTTACATTATTGCACTTAATACTGACATTTGAAATATTGACATTGATTAAAAAATTGATTAAAAATTTGATCAAAAAAGCATGACAAAAGACCTCAACTGTTCGAAAAATGGTTATCATGAAAATGACTCTGCTTAACATGACAAGAAATGCAAAAAACCAGAGTTGTGATCAGAGCATAACATACCAATTTACATGTATGCATGTGTGTGTGCAGGCATGCGTGAAGTCAGGTACATGAATACAATAGAGATATAGGAAAGGAGATAGATAAGGAAATAAATAAGGAGAGAAGAAAGTGGTAGAATGATAGGTCCACACCCAAAACAATGCTTCAGGTAAAGTTAGAGAGGACAGAAAAGGAGAAAAGATTACGACCTGGCTCCACGCATGCACCCAAACCATCCACACATTACATACACTCAAATTAGAAAATCATCGTTTTACAGAATTGTTGAAAATGTGTATGGCATTTGGAACAAAAGATTGTCTGAATCTACATCGTATTGTTTTAGGCACTGTTAGACGTATACCTGAACGGTTGAACTTAAAGAGCTCATGTAGAGGATGGGATGAATCTTGCATTATTTTATGAATCTTCAGTAGAACCTTCTTTTCATAAAGAGCACCAATTGTGGGCAACTCTGTGTGAGTAATTCGCTGAGCGACTTTCCTAGCTCTATTAAGCAGATTAAATTATGGACTACTTCCATGGCATCAGATTTTGAGTCGTTAAAAGTAGAATGAACATGAACCCTACAAAACCGAGTAGAATAGTCTTCGACTGTGCTACTCCACTCCTATAAATTTCACAAATTATCTATTCTCTATAAACATTTACTATTACTTGCATTTGATAACCCCTTGCGTTGAGCATGCATCATGATTACATTTATTGAAGGCAATCGTTTTTAATTTGGTTACTTGATTTTTATCAGACCCCCTTTTCAGATATGCAGTGTCGACTTTTTTATTTTTAAAGCGCCCCTTTAGTTGCTCCCGCTCTGTATGTCATATTAAGCAGACCAACTACTCATACCATGTTCAGAAAAGCTAATTACGTGATGCCTACGTGATGCCTATCTGAGCCAAATCTGTCTATTATATCATGCTGATGCAAACACTGGACATTATGTTGACAGAGGACATCAATTCAATCACATCGAGTCAATAAATCACAGTTTTGAAATACGATCTCAAACCTGATAAAACATCCATGTGAAGCCACGCTTGGTTTGCCGCTTACTTGTACTCTATGAGCCTTGCACCGAGAAACTCGAACGTAAAACTCCCACATACTTCATAAAAAAGAGAGATAGAAATCAAAGTCTGTAAGATTAAGACGACCTACAAGTAAATGATGCGATAACCGTAAAATCAGTGTATTACTTACTTGATTTGCAGATTTGATTAGAACATATTTAACTTTCCACATTTTTTTCTTCCATAGCACATTTAACACAATCGTGAGTACTTTCAATAAATCAAGGCAATTTTAAAAGCATGGTGCGTTTCTTATTCGAGTGTGTAAACTTGCCAATGACATATTACGTAATCCGAACTTGATATAAAATACCACTTTGAAATTGCCGTCGATTTGATTTTTTTCGAAAATTGTTGCGATCGTGTTAGTTTATTCAGAGTTACAAGACATAGAAGAAGTAAAAAAAAAACAGCTTATAAAGAAATTACATAATATTACAATAATGGTCAAATCATGGCGTTAGATCTTAGAAGAAATATAATCGTCTTTAAATCCTGCCTTAATATAAACGTTTTTAAAAGCTTTTTTCAACAAGAAACCACAAGCCAGATGTCACTGAAAGAATGATATCTACCTGGGTGATTGTCAAGTAGCAGAATAGAAGTAGAATATATGCAATAAACATGAATAATTAATTAATTAATAGGCAAGAGATATCAAACTTACACAAGTACATCATGATATAACGATGTTTTATTATTGTTTGTCAACTGAATAAATACACTGTCAAGGTGGAATATTTTAGTTTTACCCCAATTTATGGAATTATTAAAAAAATTATTTAAAAATAATAGATCTAGATAATAGTATACATTCTCAGATTTTATTCAATAATAATTTGCTAATGTGTGTTTTGCGGGACTGATAAAGCATGTGTATGCTACTATGCTTATTAACTAGGGGACTTACGCCCTCAAGTCATAAATGACAGTAATGAGGATTAATGCCCCACAAAAGGGCACTAATATAGCACATCGACACGGTTTTGATCCTGGGGCTTCACAGTTACGAGGCCATTGTTTTGTCACTGAACCATGACTGTACGCAGCGGGGGCTAGGGTAGGGGGCAGTTTCCATAAATTAAAAAAAAACAGAAAATGCAATAAATTTTCAATGATTTATTGCATTTTCCCCCAGTCCCCAACATAAAAAATCCTCTGAACGGCCATGCATTATGGCTCAAGGCATGGGCACACAGAAGATTTGTTTATGTTGGGAACCGAGGTAAAATGCAATAAATTATTGAAAATTTATTGCATTTTCTGTTTGTTTTTTTATTTATGGAAACTGCCCCCTACCCTAGCCCCCGCTGCGTACAGTCATGGTTCAGTGACAAAGCAATGGCCTCGTAACTGTGAGGCCCATGGATCAAAACCGTGTCGATGTGCTATATTATTGCCCTTTTGTGGGGCATTAATCCTCATTACTGTCATTTATGACTTAAGGACATAGGTCCCCTAGTTGATAAGCATAGTAGCATACATATGCTTTAGCAGTCACGCAAAGCACACATTGGGAAATTATTGTTCAAAAAAATCTGAGAATGTATACTATTATCTAGATCTATTATTTTTAAATAATTTTTAAAATAATTCCATAAATTGGGATTTTAAAAAATATTCGACCTTTATGAGCGACAGTGTAACTTTACTTCAGGTTCACCTGCGACTAAAGCACGCAAGTCTGTAAAATATATACAATTACTTAATTGTATCAATAAACGATGGATGTAATTGCTAGGTCAATAATAACTACATCATACCTATGAGATGGGAGGAATGTCATGTTGGAACAATCCAGTTGAAATCTAGGGTCTGGTATCACCTCTAACAATCCTGGTACCTGCCCCTTTCCAGCGAATATCTTGGTGAGTCTCTCTGAAAACTATTTTAACCACAAGTATTTTATTTCGTAAAGTAGCTTCTAAGAAGAAAAGAAATTAGTGATGAAATTAATCAATTACATTGAACGTAATGGAATATACAACACTTTGCTCTATTATTGAATGATAAACCCTATACAATAACAGTACTTTGAATATTCAATATCTTGAATAATAGGTTTGTATTTTGTTTTGCTGAGTTTGAATAGATTGTGCCATAAATTACAAAAGTCTAATGTGTTAAATGTTTTACTGTTTATCGCAGGAAACACTTGACTTTAATCCAAAGGAGTGGACTTGACTCACCATAATATATTTAATAACTGCGTTGCTGAATCACTTTAAGAAACTCGGATTGAAGGAAGTAAACAGCAAATAAATCGTAAAACGCGTTGCAGAACTCTAGTATATGGACGCAACATTGGCTAACTATTCTTCCCAGTGAGGGCTTTAATTAGCGCCACCAGAGCCTGGCAAATAACAGGGTTTAGCCGACTCAGTTATAGTTGGTGAGATTTGGTTAATAATGCTTTTACTTGGCAAGCAAAACGAAGCAATATGCGCCCTTATTTTTTCTATTTTTGCAAAACTTCAGGTGTACAATAACCCAAACCGTCATAGAGCTGAATTAAGCTTTTAATTTATGTCTCAGTGTTTTCTCATAACGAAGGAGCGTATTAACAATCCTTACCTTTGATGGCTTGATAGCAGTTTGCTTCATTTCTTCAAGACTTGAGAGGAGTGGATCCCATATCCAAACCTTAACAACAATGTCATCTGTATTCTCAACCCTGTCAGGTTTAAACAAAACAATATCACTTTCTGAAATTAGCTATACATATACATTGCAATATATTCCTGTACTTTGATCTACACGATTGTATCACAGAATATATGAGATGGAAATAAACAACATTTTTCGAATCACTACCTGCATGGGGGTTGACATCTTCATGATGTTGAGACGTAAAGGGCGGAGTCAAAGCAATGGAACAGTTTATGGATGAATATTTCCTCCCTAAGTGTCGATAGCAAGAATTGCATTTACCAGACAATCATGATGCAGATTGCATACATTATGATTTGCTCTGTCTGGGAAACCCAAGCACATCGATTTTATTTTGAAAATTTAAATTGTTTTTTAAAGAAATAAATGAAGACTTTTCGAAATCAGAAGTTTCTATGGTGAGTATTCACGATCAGAGGCTTTCGGTAATTAAAAATAATTGGTATTCCTCCGTAGAGTAGCTCAGATAAAGAATTCCAAGCTACTGTATTATATCGTGAAATGTATACATGTATCTGTCTCGTCGCGTCTGTAATTATACTCCTGGAGTTAATCTTCCGAGGTGTATGAAGGAAGACGCGTACGCAGGGGGGGGGGGGGGGGGGGGGGGGGGGGGGGGGGGGGGGGGGGGGGGGGGGGGGGGTGGGGGGGGGGGGTTACTCCCCTTATTTTTTTTTGGGGAAAAAAAATGAATACTCCTTATCCCCCCCCCCCCCCCCCCACTAAGCGAAGCGCGATTTCCAAACTTCCAAACACCCTCCTTGAAAAAATCCTGCGTACGCCACTGTATAGAGGTGTATTACAGACTTAGAGTAATAAACTTACCCTGTTTCTACCAGCACATACCATCTGTAGCACAGTGGGGTATTCTTCATGATCATTACCCTACTGTCATTTATCTGCAAGAATGATAAACCATATTTACCGTAGACGTTGTGAATTTTAATTCATGATAGAAACACATTTTTTATAATGGTTGTAAATATTTAGAAGTTATTCTAAAAAAAAACACCTGAATTCTACTTTTTCTTTCTACTTTGGCCAAGTCAGTAGGCGTCCGCCTCACAGCCGGGAGGTCGTGGGTTCGAACCCCGGCCGCGTCATACCAAAAGACGTTTAAAGACGGGAGTTGCTGCTACCTTGTTTGGCGTTTAACAATAAGGGACAGAGCAACGTCGATCTGGCGCTGCTCAGTGGCTGCCGAGCTTACGATCAATTGGGCAAAAATAATTTTCCATTTTCGGTTTAACTTAATAAAATTTGGAGAGGATTTAAAAGATTATTATTATGATTATTATTATGATATAAAATTGAAATATGAAAATATGATAATGGAGCTAATCAAAACACCTACAAACCTCTGTCCTGCCACATAAAATCGTAATTTGATAAATACAAGATCGTAATCATCATCAATAGTAATCTGTCAGTTTATGACAGGTTCAGTGACCCATTCAAAATTCTATATCAAGTGTCTCTCCAAGTTTCTCTCCAAGTTCCTCGGTCTTGAGCCAACCGTTTCATCTTTTCATACCCTGTTGCTCCACATTGTGTGATAACATCGTCTAGAAAGATCGTAATACCATACTGGAATTATGTTTTCCCATGACCCTAGGAAGATCTTTCCAAGAATGTATTTAATATGAATCAATTCAATATGAATGATTAATGAAATGCACAAAAGTTTGGCTCTGTGATACTTTTGTATAACATTTGTCCAAACAAATGCGTTGAGATGCTTACAATCTGTCCATCATGCACATACTGTAGTCTGACACGATGCAGTCCCGCAGTGCTGCAACTTATCTCTGTTTCTACATCACTGAAATAGAGAAGATATAATCTCATATTTTATAATCTCATATTATTTGTTCTCATATTATATATTCTCATATTATATATTCTCGTATGATTTGAAAGAATGGTAAATTAAGTTGATTAAAGTTCACCGAAAGACAGATAAAAAAAGTCAGTAGTATTGAATCTCATATCTCATATAATTAGTATCGTCATGCTCATCAAGTTCATTTTCTTAATAATGTTATATTTTGTTTGCATATGAAATTGGGGCTAGCCAAATTTAAAGCGGGATTGTAATCAACAAGTGCATAATATGTTCTTACTCTTCATTAAATACATTGAGTGCCAACTTGAGAGTGACAACAAAGTATTTCTACTTCACAACTCATGAGCATATAAGTGATATAAATCTTAGAGTAATTGAACACAGCTTACCTTGAGTTTGCTGCTGAACAGTGTGCGGGAGCCTCCCATCTCATGAAAGTATCTTGATCTCCTAAATAGCGCACCTTCAACTAGTAGGAGTGGATAAATGCAGATATATACTTCATGAACTTAGAGAACTACCTGGTAGACATGCAAGCGCGTATTTAAATGTTAGTATGAGAGACTGAGGAATTAACAGATTTTAGATATCATAAGCAAGGGCGTCGCTAAAAAAGGGGGGATTTAGAAGGGTGCGACCCCCTCCCCCCCCCCCCCTCTTGTCAGGATATTGTCGGTAAAATTGCGCTGCTGTCGGGAAAATTACGAATTGAATTGATCTGAATTATAAATTGTACTTAATCTGAATTATGAATCTATTTAACCTGAATCGTCAATTTAATTTAATCTGAATTATGAATTGTACGTGATCGGGATCTGAATTGAATTATTTTCTAAAATATGTATTGAATTTGTCTGAATCATGAATTGTATTGAATTTGAATTGTGAACTTAATTTAACCCGAACTATGAATTTAATCTTATTACTTAGTCTGAATTATAAATTGAATGTGATTTGATTTTGTTAATTGTATTTTAATCTGAATTACGAATTGAATGTGATCGGGATTTGAAATGGATTTGATCTAAATTACGAATTGAATTGGTCTAAATCTTTAATTGTATTTAATCTCAATTGCGAATGAATTTAATCCGAACTTGAACTGAATTTAACTACTTAGTCTGAATTAATGAATCAAATTTTAGTCTGCATGTTGAACTATCACATTTGTTGTTACCTATGTCCAAGTTAAATGTTCTACTCTGTACCCATCTGTATCTTATTGATGTTTATAATGTGTAATCTTGTACTGACATGCAAATGAAACAAATTTCCAATCATTGGACAATAAATTTGAATATGAATATGAAAATGAGAAAAGGGGGAGGGGGAAAATGAGAGGGAAAAGGAAAGAAAAGAAAAGAGGAAGAAAAAAGGTGATGAAAAAAAAGGAAAGAGAAGAGAAGAAAAAAAGAAAGAGAAAAAAAAGAGGAAGGAGAGGAAAGGAAGGAGAGGAAAGAACGGTCAAAAAGAAAAGAAAGAAAAGGAGAAATGGAAAAAGAAAACAAATTATGAGAAAAAGGAAACAAAAAAAACGGGGGATGAAAGAGAGGAGATAAAGGGGGTTAAGAGCCTGAGAGAAGAGGAGTTGGATGGAGTCGCCACGTCGAGGGAGCAAGAAAGATACGCATAGATAATTATGTTGCTATGTCGGTAGTCTTGCTTGATCTTCGTGTACTATATCCAGTGGCGTAATGAGCAAAAACGTTTGGGGGGGCTGACAAAAAAAAATCCGCAGCACCCCACTCTAACATGCATGGGCATCAGTGGCGGATCCAGGAATTTCTTACCGGGGGGGGGGGCACAAAATGGCATGGGCAAGGGTGTCGATTTGTATCCGTGGTTGGGGAGATGATAGGTGCCAAAATATTTTCGGCAATGGACCAAAGCAACCAAGAGGTAGAAGTGTGTGGCAGGTTGCATCCCCTCCCCAAGCGCGTACCCAGGATTTAATTTTAGGGGGGGGGGGGCAGTAGTACGCGAATCACTTACAGAGCGCGCTGGGTACAGGGAGGGGGAGTTCCCCCCTCCCCCGCGAAACGCGGAAGCTTTGACGTTTTATTAAATTAATAGAGAAAGAAGACGATTCGTTGGACCGTTCTCGACTCTTAATCCTTGTTTGAATCAAGTTCCCCTTCCTCCGCGCGTAGCGCGGAAGCTCTGGCGGTTCATTAGATTATTAAAGAAAGAAGACGATTCGATCTACCATTCTCGACTCTTAATCCTTGTTTGAATCAAGTTCCCCTTCCTCCACGCGTAGCGCGGAAGCTCTGACGTTTCATTAGATTATTAAAGAAAGACGATTCGATCTACCATTCTCGACTCTTAATCCTCGTCTGAATTCATTTTCGCCCATCCCGCGCGAAGCGCAGAAGCTTTCACGTTTCGTTAAATTATTAGAGAAAGAAGACGCTTCGTTGTATCGTGTCCTTGTCTGAATTCAGTTCCTCCCCTCCCGCGCGAAGCTTTGACGTTTCAATTAATTATTACCCTTAATCCACGTCTGAAATCATTTTCGCCCATCCCACGCGAAGCGCGGAAGCTTTCACGTTTCATTAAATTATTAGAGAAAGAAGACGATTTGTTGTATCGTGTCCTTGTCTGAATTCAGTTTCCCCCCTCCCGCGCGAAGCGCGGAAGTTTGACGTTTCATTTAATTATTACTCTTAATCCACGTCTGAATTCAGTTTCCCCACATGATGTACGTATGGAACGTTCGTTCGCAAATCTTTGCATGCACAGCCCGAGTGGTGGGTATCATGTTATCTCCTGGCAGTGCTTGTCGCAATAGCTTCTGGAAAGGAATTGTATACTACTGTTAGAGTTTATATATCGGCCACTAATTAGGCCCATTAGTGACTATACAAAATATATGTTGCTGGCTATTCCTGGCTATTTGGGAATGTGTCAGTTTGCAACAGAAATGGAAAAACGCGAATTATGTTGAAAATCATGTGATATCACGAACATTTATACATGTAAATCACTTGTATGAAATTGAAAATAAGTCATGGCTGGATTTTATTGGGGGGGGGGGGGCAAGCGCAAGCCCCCCCCCCCCCACCAGTACGCCAGTGATATAGGCCTACATCAGCTTTTCAATAAAACAAAAATAAGATGTGAAATAATCTTTCTCCAAAAATGAAAAATGTTTTATGAAATGTCAGGAAATAAAAAATAAAATCAGTGAAAAAATAAAAATAAAGATACAATGACGTGAATTTTAAAAAGGGTGAACGGAAACAACATAGCAACTATTGAACTATCTTATAAGTCATACTGATGTCCGAAAATCTTTCTCCTTGTCTCCGATCTCATCACGAATTCGTCACAGAGTTTATGTTTACACTGTCCAGGATTGTTTGATGTGCATTGCAGATTGCTACCATTGCGCTTCGCGCTTAACATTTAGCTCGTTGCTTTTTAACGCTGCGGCTTTGCATTTGGCGCACTGCATTTCTATGATGCTGTTGATTGAACAAATTGAATAAATTCATCAATTCCTGATGAAGCCGTATGAGCGAGAATTCAATTTATTCTTGTCTCATATACGGTTGTCTCATTTACTTCGTATATATATATATATATATATATATGTATGTATTATGAAAATGAGAGAGCAAAATGTGTATATTGATGGTCATCTTGCGAGTAATAACCATTAACTACTCTCATCGGGCTCTAATCATTAATTTTTCTCTTCATTTTTATTTTATTTTTTATGGTGAATTATTGGGGGGGGGGGGGGGGGGTGATTGTACAGGCCATCCCATCTGGCCCCCTCCCAAGGTAAGAAGCATTTGCAATTTTAGAACCAAATTAGACGCATTTTCAGGCACTTCCTGGAGTAATATGACGTAAAATTGCTTTCTCCTACCCCTTCCAAGAGTAGGGATCTTTTGCAATTTGAGAACCACATTTGGCGCATTAATGTCCACCGGCACTTCCTGAGAAAAAAAACGAGGCCTTCTGATTGGTTAGAAGTTAGAGAAAAGTGATATGTCACGGCTTGAGACGTTGTATATGCTTTGATGCCGCACAATGCACAAAGACGGTGGTCCGGTACTTCATCAGTAGTACTTGCAAAAATGTTCTCGAGTGTATAAACTGTGTCGTTATCAGGGGCGTCGCTAGATCTTTGTCAGTGGGGGAGTGGGGAGGGTGTAGAGGCCACCGATTACCGACAAAACGAGCAACCAAATACCGACAAATATATTAATACCAATGCTCAAATGTCTACAAATTTAACCCTTTAAACCCGGGGCCAGGAACTAAGTTATTTTTCCCCCCTCTTCCCCCCTCCCGCGCGAAGCGCGGAAACTTTGACACTTCATTAAATTATTAGAGAAAGAAGACGATCCGCTGTGCCGTTCTCGACTCTTAATTCTTGTTTGGATCCAGGTCCCCCCCCCCCTCCCGCGCGAAGCGAGGCAGCTTTGACGTTACAATAAATTATTACTCTTAATCCTTGTCTGAATTCATTTCGCCCATCCCGCGCGAAGCGCGGAAGCCTTGACGATTCATTAAGTTATTACTCTTAATCCTTGTCTGAATTCATTTTCGCCCATCTCGCGCGAAGCGCGAAAGCTTTGACGTTTCAATAAATCATTACTCTTAATCCTTGTCTGAATTCATTTTCACCCATCCCGCGCGAAGCGCGGAAGCTTTCACGTTTCATTAAATTATTAGAGAAAGAAGACGATTCATTGTAGCGGTTCCGTTTCTTAATCCTTGTCTGAATTCATTTTCGCCCATTTCGCGTGAAGCGCGGAAACTCTGACGTTTCATTAAACTATTTCTCTTAATCCTTGTCTGAATTCATTTTCGCCCATCTCGCGCAAAGCGCGGAAGCTTTGACGTTTCAATAAATTATTACTCTTAATCCTTGTCTGAATTCATTTTCACCCATTCCGGGGGAAGCGCGGAAGTTTTTATGGTTCATTAAATTATTAAAGAAGGAAGACGATTCGTTGTACCGTTCTCGACTCTTAATCCTAGTCTGAATTCAGTTTCCCCCCCGCCCCCCCCCCCCCCCCCCGAAGCACGGAAGCTTTGTCGTTTCATTAAATTATTAGAGAAAGAAGACGATTCGTTGTACCGTCCACAATTCTTAATCTTGTCTTAATTCAATTTCCCCACTTAACGGTGCATGTGCAGTGTTACATGAAACGTCCGGCAGTGCTTAATTGACACAGTTGCTTCTGGATAGGATTTTTTCACTTGTGTTACTGTTAGTGGCCAAGGCCCCTTAGTGACTATAAAAAAACATATGCTCTTCCTGGCCATTTGGGAATCTGTCAGTTTGCAACAGAAATGGAGAAACACACATTTTGTTGAAAATCATGTGATATCACGAACATTTATACATCACTTTTATATGGAATTGAAAATAAGTCATGGTTCAATTTTATTTGGGGGGGGGGGGCTGGCGCACCCCAAGCCCCCCCCCCCCCACCAGGACGCCAGTGACTATATCAATACAGAAGTTTGAAGTCGGTGAGATGTATTACCTCGGTCGACCGGCAATTTTTCTTTCCCCTACGAACTGTGACTTTTTATCGGACAAAGAAACATTTTTGAAAATTCAGAAAATGATTAAGAGTCGGTACAACGAATCATCTTCTTTCTCTAATAATTTAATAAGCAGACCATCCAAACAAAACCCAATAGATGCACATAATCATAAGGCGGTGACTATCATTGGATCAAAGAAAGAATCACGTCGAATGTCCATCCGTAATGGGTCCATGGGCTAACGAACGAAAGAGAGATAAATGTTCGGTCTAGAGGAGCTGAATGCCCTGTTGAGTAAGAAAACAAAATCGAAGTGCTCACTACCCCCCCCCCCCCCCTCTCCCCCGTTGAGCAAAAATAAATTCCATACAATACGAGTATGGCAGGAGGTTTTTTCATAAACCGGGAGATTGCGGGAGGAAGGGCGTGGTGGCGGGAGTCTCCCGCTACGAGTTGGTGGGACGGCGGGAGAATAAGCGTGGTGGTGTGAGACTACCTCCGAATGCGGGAGGGTTGACAGCCCTGACTTTTTTTTTCAAGAGTTCTAGACTAAATACTAATACTTACAGGTAATCTTGTTGAAAACAAAGTGGCCTCTTCCGGTAAAGTATCTTGATTTGCACTAAAAAGATTTAAAAAAGAACAAAGAAAACGACATGAATCTAATTACCATAAATAATTTTTTGCCTAGATTCTATATCTAGTTTGCATTTATATTAAGGTCTAGACCTCTACAACAAAATATTCTGCTACAAAGGTCGAAATTGATTTGTGTCAGGACTACTCTGTAGAACTAGTAGGCCTATAGTCTAGGTTTATTCAATTCTCTGAATTCACAATTTTAAGGCTGCATACTTGAGACGACTTCTGACACGGTGACATTTTAAAGATTTGTGTTTCTAATTTATTTATTTATATTATTAATGTGTTCAGACTAGATTTAATTTTAGACCTAGAATCTACTTGTTATAATGTATTTCCGCTTGTGGGGGGAAATGTTGATTTTCTTAGATCTAGCTCTAGATGTAGACTGGAGCCCCCAGAAGGGGTAGAGACAATTTCTATTCGTAGGGCCAGGGGTGTAATTAAATCGATAGTATGTATAGGCCTGAAAACCTTTAATTCGGGGGTAAGCTGCCGAACTAAAATCATTGCGACCCTATGTAGATCTCGGTCTAGGCCTAGACTAGACCGAAAGCTTCAGTCTCTATAATCGTCGGTTGTTCCACTGAGACTACGTCTGGCTCTATAACCGGAGGTCTAGTGGAGCCAGACGTAGTCTCAGTGGAACAACCGACGATTATAGAGACTGAAGCTTTCGGTCTAGGCCTAGACCTACTAATAATATAACCCAGGGCTGTCAACCCTCCCGCATTTTATGATTTGGAGGGAGTCTCACGCCACCACGCTTATTCTCCCGCCGCCCCAAAAGCTCATAGCGAGAGAGACTCCCGAACACGCCTTCCTCCCGCTCTCCCGCCAACGTTAACGATGAGAATTATGAAAAAACCTCCTGCCCCCCAAAAAATTAGTGCTCCCTATGGTCTAGGCTAAATCTAGATCTCGATGTAGGCTACCTGCTAGACATGCTAGACCTAGATACAATAAGATAGATCTAGGGTCTAGATCATGTAGATAAATCAAGGTCTTGATCTACTAGATCTAGTCTAGTCTAGATCTACTCTAAGTTAGATCTAACATTTAGATCTAGATGGATCAAGTTTACATAGACCCAAGTCAAGAATATCTGATACAATAGTGATACAGTGATGGGGCCTGGGGGTGTGGGGGGGGGGGGTCTGGACGTTTTTACTTTTAGTTTTACATAAAAAAATAGGCCTAGAATCTAGAGTCTAGATCTAGAGTCTAGATTAGGCTAGATCTAGATTGGTTCTAAATAAAGCTGTAGCATTTGACTTTAGGCCTAATCTATTTGTCATTTAGAGTCTAGACCCTAGATCTAGATAAAAGTAAAGTACCCGGTAATCGGTCAGCTCCGGTTTTCGGCCAATTGGTTGGATACATGGTAAAATCACTTTAAAATACATCGCATAATAGCATAACACATATCCCACACATACCATACCATGCCAGTGTCACTGAAGAACCACATTTGCAATGAAAAATATATCCTAAAATATCACATTTTAGCGATGTAATCGGCGGTCCCGCTACCCAAATCTGAAAAATCGAGTTTCTTACGCGTGTATGTAAGAAATATGGGTACCATAAAATGAGCTTTATTTCAAGTATTTTTCAGATATAGAGCCCGATTTTGTGCTGGTCGCAAGCTCAAAAGTATCTCATCGCATGTATTAAATCAATGCAGCCGCACACCGCGACGCACACACGATATGTCCGTCTAATTCAGATTCCAACTTCCGATCACCGCTGTGCCTGTATTCGGTCAGGCGAGCACCCGGGAGCTCCGGCGTGGGATACCTGCTCCGCCCGCGTGTGCTATACATCAGCGCAGAAACGCACGGCGCGCGCGAGCGCTTCCGATTGACTTTGTACATGCGGCCGTAAACTGAAACGCTCGGCCGATAACCGGCTCCAAAACAGTGAAAATTGAAATGAATATTGTCATGGCAATTCGTGATTTTTTTTGGGGATTCTTTTTTTGTTTAAATAATAATAATATTTGCTTCATGATTTGAACAAGAAATGATAATAAATAGGAAGTAAAGAGTCCAATAAATAGGATTTTGTCTTAAGTGGCCGAAAACCGGGTACTTTACTCTAATGTCAAACACAAGTCTTTGAATGAAATTTCTGAAAAATTGCCGTGAACTTCCAGTTTTGCAAATTACTGAGCTGTTTGCAATTAAACTGTCTGGATAACCAACCCATAATTTATAAGACATTAAAAAAAGTAAACATTTAGATCTAGATCTAGATCTAACTGTTAGATCTATTTTACGACAATGAAATCCACCTTCCTTAGACCTATTTACTTTTTATGACTGAGGTTAACAATAACATTCATCAACTAGAAAAATCTAGTCTAAAAAGTTAGGCTAATTTTAACTTTAATGTTTGGCATTTGTTAAGTTTCATATCAAAATACCATAGCCTGGCCCTAGACTAGATATAGATCTAGTCTAGATAGATCAGTCTAGGCCTACTAGATCTATACAGTAGGAGTAGATCTAGACCTATGCCTATGAGTATAACTGGATTAAGCCAGGTTTTATTAGTAACGTTAGAAGTCTAACATTGATTTACCTCCATTGTGTTCCGTTTGCAAGTTTCGATTGACCGCCGAAATCCATGCATAGGAAGGCACCGAACACTATCAGCATAAGATGTAGAACAACTGTTTTTGACATCATCGTTGACGACGCTAAAATAACAGCGGGACAAAGAAAAGCTGGACTAGTTGAGCTGAGAGCGATTGATCATTCGTTGTTGATGATTGATCTGTACGCTGGAGCTGGATGTGTGATCAGGCCATGCGCTTTATTCCATTTGGTTAACCTAGCTAACAGTACAGTACGCGCTGCATATAATATTTCGTAGGTCAAGACTTAACCCACAATGTCATGACTGAAGTTCTACTCAGGACTGCATTCTGTGGTGACTTTCTATCTATGCGAAGGTCCCTATTAAATGCAATGGAGCAGATTAACAAAAAAAACACGTAAGAGTCTGTTGAATGATGCTTGGTCAGGGGCGGCGGAGCGTTTTCAAAAATAGGAGGACAAAAACAAAAAGGGCATATCCTGGAGGGAAAAAAAATTGGAAAATAGCAAAATGGCATCTGTCGAAGGAAAAGGGGCACCTATCAGATTTTAATATGGTCAGATATCAGTGGTGAAAAGGGGCATTTAGGGGCTCATATAATGAAGATAAAAGGTACACTTATTCAAAGAAAATGGGTACTTAATAAAAAGGAAAAGGGGGAGCCTTATGTCAAAATAAAAGGAGCACGTGTCAAAATTAACTGGGCACTTATTAGAGATGAAATAACGAAAAGGGGCACTTATGAGAATGGAAAAGGTCACTTATTGCAATGGAAAAAGTGCACTTAAAGGGCACTTATCAGATGAAAAGGTGGAATATAAGAGAAAGGGGCTGTTATGGAGAAAAAAATAAGGGCACCAATCACAAGGAAAAGGGGCACGTGTCAAAATAAAAGGGGAACTTATTAAAAGGAGAAGGAGTACGTCCAACAAAGAAAGGGACACTTGTCAAAGTAAAAATGGGCACTTTTCCAATGTAAAAAGGGGCACTTGTGGCCTACTTAAAAAGAAAACACTACCAGCAACAACAACAAAATATTAACGCAAACCCCGAAACTAAGAGACCATAGAGATTATAATGAAGCAAGAAAATACAGTTATGCAGGTTTAACATGTTGTTTTAAGTTTCATTATAAGGCATAGCGGTACACACAGGGGCGTACGCAGGGGGGGGGGGGGGGTTCAAACCCCCCCCCTTTGGTATTTTTATGTGTGTAAACCCCCTAAAAAAACCTAACCCCCCCCCCCCCTTTGGATTTTTTTGCCCACGGCTAACCTAAAAAAGGTGACCTTACCCCCCCCCCCCCCCCCAACGCAGAAAAAATGTCAAATTTTCAAATTTCGAGACAAAAAAAAGAAAAAAGTGTCCGCTTACCCCCCCCCCCCCCCCCCCCCCCCCCCCCCCCCCCCCCCCCCCCCCCCCCCCTGAGCGACTTTTCGGCCGGCGCGATTTTAAATTTTTCGGGAGCAAAATATTTTGGGCCCGATTTTAAACCCCCTCCCCCTTTAAAAAATCCTGCGTACGCCCCTGGGTACACACATGTCCTGGTCGAATGGTAAACGGTACAACATTAGAAAGGGAGCAAGAATGGTAAAGCGCGAAGGAAACACGGAATGCAGTGTAAATCTCCCCTCCCCTCCTTCATGTAGGCCTACTAGACCCAAGCGTACACATTTGCATTAGTACGGTACGTTTATAAATTTTGCGCCATAGCAATCCTGCCCACTCATATTCCGTTGCTGATGACGATGTTTAATTGACTGTGGTTATCATAATTCTTCAGTCCTTAATTAAAATAAGTTTTTAAAATGTATTCTTGTCTGCAATTTGGCGCCATTGTAATATGTTTTCACTATGTGCTTCCAGGCGATGAATTGGGCAATATAGTATAGTAAGAAAGGACTGCTATGAGAGTAGTTATTTTTTATATGCTTTAAGGGGAGGTTACATCGTGCTATCGCCCCGAGGCGTGCCGAGGAGTGATAGCACGATGTTAGCTCCCCAAAAGCCTATAAAAACAATTATATACTATGCCTCGAATATTAAAGCAGCCTCATTATAACTTTTATAATCGAAAAGGGTCATAGAATACATGTGCGACTTACCAATCATGATAATCAAGTTTGTTTACGCCATCGAGGGTATACGTGTCTGATCGCGCACCACTCGAGTTTGTGTGCTAAAATCCTTCCCTTGAGATTGCACGCATATACGTAATGCCAAAACCGGTTAATAGCCCGGTCCCCCCCCCCCCCCCCCCCCCCCCCACTCAGAGGTCGGAATGACCGCATGCGTGTTGCCAAAATGTCCGGTAAAGGGGTACTTTTCGTGCGACAAAGTCCGGCCCGAGATTTTTAAAAAAGGGGGTGTATTTGACTTTTCACCCGGAGATTTCTTTAAAAAGGGGGTGACTTTCTTTTCATATGAACAAATTTGACCCACATTCGGCCAAAAGATCAATGAGGCATTTTGTTTACCTCCCACACAGACGACGAACGTTCGAGTGCACTAGAGCGTAACACCAAGGTACCGGACTCGTCGATATTTATGAAATAGGGGTTTATCGTAGAAAACTGGTGAGAGTGTGAATGTCAACACCGCTGTGCAAGCGTGACTTGTCAACTCTCTCTGTCTCTGTCTCTCTCTCTCTCTCTTCCCTCTTCTTCTCCCCCAAAAGAAAACAAATCAGGAAATTATATATGTTAGTCTAGAAGATGCAGATGCACATCACAATGCATAAGTCCATTGTCATCCCTCCGTCTAAGATGGGCGGGATCCCCCTGCAATATGAATACACGATTCCTTCACTACCAGATCGACCATGAATATTTAGATCTGCTCATAAAGCGAGTTCAGAGTGCCACTAATTTGCTAAATTTCAGGAAAACTAAAGAATTCAGTGTCTCATGAGAGATATAATCTAATCCCTACACATCTTTTTTGTAAAAGATCGTCAATAATATCTAAATTCCTTTCAGTAAATTGCTGAAATCAACATAAAATGTGTCTTTTCCATCGCCGCGGAGCTGAGTCAAATTCGATGGTCGAAATACGCACGGCTGCGAGCACGGTGTGTAAGCCTCATTGTCCGCTGTGTTAAAACCTCGCTTACGCACAATGCATAAATTACGGAGGTCGATGCGTAAATTTCAGAAAGCTTCTTTTTATTGGATTGAAATTGGCCCTAATTTCTCGACAACCAATCAAATTATGTGTTACATCAGACGACACGGGATTATATACCCTATGATTTGGCGCCCGAGATGGCCCAATAACAAGTCGCAGTTACGAGCATTAGCTCCTTGAAGTACACAACCCCAGTGAAAAAGGCGAATTTTCCTGTGACCTCCATAGAGAAATCACAAATTGAATGATTGTTGTCCATTTTTGAAGACGAAAAGGCCCTATTTTCCGGTATTCAAATCAGTTCGAAATTGGTATCAGTGAAAAGAACAGTATTTGAATATGTGATTTCCACCCGAGATGGTGTGTAATCAAAGTTTGTTTACCTCGTAGGAGCATTTCTTTGCACACTTAGCGCATTTTCAAAGACGATTTCACGTGTTGTAGACCGCTGAGCGAAACCGCGTGAGCAGATGCCCAAAATTTGTTCATATGCTCTCTCATCTCTTTGGACTCCTGAGAAATTATTCCGAATTTAGGGGGGTACATTGAGCATTTTTCCTGATTTAGGGGGGTCTCCAAGGCAGGAAAAGACCGCGAAAAGCCCGCGAAAAGCCCGCGAAAGGGGGGTTCGGAAATGTTGGCAGTCCTCAGATAGGGGGTGCTTTCAAAAAGAGGGTACGAGCATATGCGTACCCTAAATAACACTGAGTGGGGGGGCCGGGGTTAATAGTCTTTCGAAAAGTGCCCTAGGGCGTTTTTCAAAATACCATTGACCAGTTTTGGCATTTTACGTTTCTTTACGGGAATGGCTAAAATCACGACTCCAATTTCGACCAATCAGATGGCTGGATTTCTAAAGTGAGGTATATAATTTCGTCCATCACCTTTATAAATGGGCTAATAGTACAATGACGTATTACGTAATCTACACATGGTTTCTTATGATATACAATAGTGTATTGCAATTACCATTGAGTTAGTGTTTCGGAGTTGCGATCGTGTTTCACTCGATCCTGGTGAATCTCGAACTGGATGCGGGACTGGATGAGCAGACAGTTATTAGACTGATACGTAATTCTGTTCTTCAAAATATCAAGATTGATATTTCTCTCAGGCAATCCGCATGATCCCATCTAGATGACACTCGACATCCTACTCCATCTTGTGCACTACTCATCATCTCTTTACCCTTCTATCCTCTCTACCCCCTTGTTCTGTCTCCGTGATACGCCACAAAACAATGGAGCGCGTGGTACGAGGTTCGAAACTAACCAAGGCTCAAAATGTCCTCTCCTCCTCTCCCTCTCATTCTCATTCTCTCTATTATACTTCCCCTCCACTCTCTCTCTCTATCTCTCTATTATTACCTTGACGCCTATAACATGTAGACCTACAACTACATACAGGGGCGTAGCTAGACATTTTTTAGTGGGGGGGGGGGGGGTGTAGAGGTCAACGATTACCGACAAAATTATAAATACAATATCTACAAATTTAACCCTATAAACCCGGGGGCGAAGGCTAAATTGTTTTTCATGTGGACTATCTATAGTACTTGCGTAGCGCAAATAGTCATTTTCCTCGACATAAATATACGAATTATTTCGTCAACTGATGCCTGGATTACATTTCGCTTGCGATTAGTCTACGGGGTCTGTATCCTGCCCGTATCCCCTTTTCCGTGTGGCCTCCGTGGGGAGGCAGGAGGCGGCCGTGAGATTTTCGTACGGATTCACGGATTCACCCCGCAGCCTTTACGATTTTCCCTGATAGCAGAGACTGGTAAATATCACGTCATATTTACGTCTTGTACTACGTCTTTAAGACGACATAACACGACGTCAAAAAGACATGATTTTGCACCCGCGCACGTCGTCACGAGGACGTCATATTTTGACGTGATTTTTACGTCTTATTAGTCAAAGAAAGACGTCTTTAAGACGTCAACTTGTACTATAGGAAGACGTCATATGGACGTCATATTTACGTCTTTTAGTTAAAGAAAG